TGCTACTCGTTACTTACCCTGTGAGTATGCTACTCGTTACTTACCCTGTGAGTATGCTACTCGTTACTTACCCTGTGAGTATGCTACTCGTTACTTACCCTGTGAGTATGCTACTCGTTACTTACCCTGTGAGTATGCTACTCGTTACTTACCCTGTGAGTATGCTACTCGTTACTTACCCTGTGAGTATGCTACTCGTTACTTACCCTGTGAGTATGCTACTCGTTACTTACCCTGTGAGTATGCTACTCGTTAATTACCCTGTGAGTATGCTGGTCGTTAATTACCCTGTGAGTATGCTGGTCGTTACTTACCCTGTAAGTATACTAGTTAATAATTATTCTGTAAGTATACTATACGTGAATTACTCTGTAAGTATACTAGTCGTAAATTACGAATTGTGAGTATGCTAGTCCTGCCTCACTCTGTGAGTATGCTAGTCGTTAATTACCCTGTGAGTATGCTAGTCGTGACTCACCCTGTGAGTATACCTAGTCGTAAATTACTCTGTGAGTATGCTACTCGTTAATTACCCTGTGAGTATGCTAGTCGTGACTCACCCTGTGAGTATGCTAGTTGATAATTATTCTGTAAGTATGCTAGTCGTGACTCACTCAGTGAGTATGCTACTCGTTACTTACCCTGTGAGTATGCTACTCGTGACTCACCCTATGAGTATGCTAGTTGATAATTACTCTGTAAGTATGCTAGTCGTGACTCACTCAGTGAGTATGCTACTCGTTACTTACCCTGTGAGTATGCTACTCGTGACTCACCCTATGAGTATGCTAGTTGATAATTACTCTGTAAGTATGCTAGTCGTGACTCACTCAGTGAGTATGCTACTCGTTACTTACCCTGTGAGTATGCTACTCGTGACTCACCCTATGAGTATGCTAGTTGATAATTACTCTGTAAGTATGCTAGTCGTGACTCACCCTGTGAGTATGCTAGTCGTGACTCACTCAGTAATTAAGCTAGTCCACTCTGTGAGAATCAATCTTTTGCTCCACGATTTTAACAGAAGTCATGCATGTCTGTTACTCACGTTAGTGAAGTAACCGTGACTAGGCATAGTTCTATTCACACTATCCACTCATAGATTACAAAAAAAAACCCAGATGAACTCTACTTCATCTGCCCTACTGACCGTAAGGCTAGAAAAGAGTCCCCTTAATTTCTATTTATTAAAGAATTAATGGAAATTACATTTCGTTTTCAAAAAGAGCCATAGGTTATTGCCCTTCATTACCACACAACTGTAAGCAAAGGTAATTGTTGTTTTTGGGCCAGATCTCAAGACATTTCATTACCACAAATCTGTAAGCAGAAAGGCATTTGATTACCTCTCCTCTGTAAGCAGGTATTCTTTTCTTTTTATGTCGCCTACAAGCTACATGTTTTTGTATTCTCTCTTTTTTCTTTTACTTTCAGATGGTTGTCCCGGAAAGAGCCGACATTGTCAAGAAAGGTCCTACGTGGGATACGGCAGGTAACATTAGTACCTTTCACTTGAGTCTTTCAATACATCAATTAAAACATAGGTTTTGATGCTGAAAGATGTTGTCTACGTCACTTCTACCCCTGCCACTGCATCGATGATCCATAACAAGATTTCAAGACGATCACTATAATAGTTCTATCTACAACAACATGGACTATCTATATAAATCTCTCTAGATCTATCTAGAACAACATGGACTATCCCTATAAATCTCTCTATCTAGAACAACATGGACTATCTATATAAATCTCTCTAGATCTATCTAGAACAACATGGACTATCTCTATAAATCTCTCTAGATCTATCTAGAACAACATGGACTATCTCTATAAATCTCTCTAGATCTATCTAGAACAACATGGACTATCTCTATAAATCTCTCTAGATCTATCTAGAACAACATGGACTATCCCTATAAATCTCTCTATCTACAGCAACATGGACTATCCCTATAATCCATCTTCAATAGCAACTTGGACGAACCCTATAATCTCTCTATAACAACATAGATAATTACTAAAATCTCGCCATAACACCATGGACGATGATCTAACAGGCACACGAAAATATGTTCTAATAATTTTATTATTTCAGATGGTTTTCCACTCGGAACAGAAGGGGGGCTAAGTAAACCCAGATCCAAAAGATGGGGATTTGTAAGTATTTAAAAAAAATGTTATCCATAGATGTTTAGACATTCAATATTTACTATGTATACTGATCAATAAACTGATTTGATGTATTATTTTTTTCTAAGACAAAAGATTTTGTTTTTTGTTTTTCAGGAAATCCCACTACCAAACCCTCTGCCTGGTATGCTGCCGTGCAAGTTGTATATATATATATATATATATATATATATATATATATATATATATATATATATATATATATATATATATATATATATATATATATATATATATATATATATATATATATATATATATATATATATATATAAGGAATATAGTTGTTTTTTAATCAATATATGCATAAAATAACAAGCAATAATGTATATTATATCTTCGAACCATACACAATATTTGCCTCCATCAGGAATATATTCTTTTTTTTTTTACTTTTCTTTCAGGTTTCAGTTGCAAATGGGTCAATGGAAAACTTACATGCACTACCTCGAGACAATGAGAAAAGGCATAGCTTGAAGACAACTCTATCTGAACATAAACAGATTTTTTTTTATTTATCATGAAAAATGTATTCAGAATTTTAAAAACATTAAATATTTAAACTTTTAAGGTATTCCTATTATTACTTATTGTGACTGTTCGAAGTGTGTGTTTCCATGTTTGTTCTGATATTAATTTTTTTGTGAGAATTGTCGCATGTATTTATCTGCAAATGACTGCTAATACAAGTTAATGCAAAAAAATGCATACATATGTTTTTTGACTATACTTATAAAAGTAGGGCTCCTAAAGATGTAGAAAATTAATGTAATTAAAATATAACTTTGAAAATCAATGTTTTTCTACCCATAGTATATCATACATAATACTCTAAAGGCTTATACATGTTTTAAAATATTTCTGCTACCTATGCTTTTTCCTTGATTCAATGGACGAAAAATAAAAATGTTTCGCTTTATCTCCAATAATGTGGTTCCTAAACATTTAAAATACGTTTGAGCGCTAATTGACTTAAGTGTTACATTTTGAGTTCCATAATTAAGTAGGTCTAATGAAATTAAAAGTCTCCAAACAAGTATTGAGTCACTCATTAACACAGCTTATAATAATTATTTATTTCAAAGTTGTCACTTCAAATGTCACTTCATCATATTTTCAAAGTGTGAGTCAATTTATCAAAATAAACAAAGGGGGATTGTTACCATTGAAAATTCTTATAAAATAGATGGGTATATCCCGAGTTCGAAACCACGGGCAGATGAGGCTCGACAATTGGGGACAGCAATTCTCCTAAAAGAGTCAACTAACTAAAAAATCAAACAACTGCTGCCTTGTATTTTGACCTTGGTTGGGCATAGGCTATGGAAGTAAATCTAAAAAGAAAAGAAAAATGGCCTAGATGGCGCATAACAAGTTGACACGTAATACTTAATTGTGTTTGGAGGGAATCTTTTCCAAAACTAAAATTTAGAACGAAAGAAAAGAAATATGGTCAATTTTTCTTCCAGACTTTCATCTCCGAGGGGTAGGTGTGGGGGGGGGGGGGGATAATTGAAATTTTCAGGGAAGGGGGGAATAATTTCGTGGGGGGGGGGGGAGAGAAACAGTTTTAAAAGTATTTATTTTCAATAAAAATTCTATTTCGTTGGGGGGGGGGGGGGGGGCAGATGCCTGGAAGAAACACTGAATATAAACTAGTTCTGTCGATCAGTCGACAACAAGAAAAAAAAAAACTTCAACTGCCTCTCGTGATTTCTGTCACACATTTAGACATGTGATATCTCACCGTGGCTTTTTTGTGTGCACTGATATTTGTAGTAACAACTTCATAATAAAGTAACACATACACACATTTTATATACTTATATAATTGTTAGAAATCGCTTTTCAGACAGAAAATTTAATTTTTTTTTTTTTAAAATGTAAAATTTGTGATACGTGTTAACTGTATGTTATTAAGGTAGTTTATAACGGTTTAGAAATAGACCATTTTTTTAAAAAAATATCTCTCTAAAATTTTCTTGAAAAGAAGACAATGTTCAATTTTTATTGCTTTAAATAGAGAAATAATTTATACGAGCCGACCCGCGGCATATCATACGCCGCTATTTAGTTGTTCTTTTTTCTACTTTTCGGTTATTCATAATTTGTGAATTCGACACTACCAACGCTGCCACTGAAAATATTTCTTTAAAACACTATAAGTAGCTCGTTAAGGACGATACCCCCCTCCCTCCATCCCCCCCCCCCCTCCGTTAAAGTAAACTCCACTTAGTCCCCCATCCCCCCCCCCCCCCTACGTTTAAAATCGTTTCAAACTAAATTATCTACCCCTAGTAGTCGTTACCAAACCCGGCTCTGTTTGTAAACATTTAGAGTGAACCACAGCTCACCAGACCATGTAGGGGTGGGGTGGTAGGGAGCGCGTTTACAGCTTGTTTTCTAGCTTCTCCCAGAAGAGAATTATTTATATAGATTTTTCTTAACTAATTAAATAAACGCAACAAAATGAATTATTAAAGGGAGATAACAGTTTTAAAAAAAATATTGTACGGTAAAAAAATCACTTTTGTTTAACTTTGATCTTCTTGCTATTTATGTGTTCTTGAAGAAAACTTTTATGAATCACAACCCCATGCGACGGTAAAATAAAGAAAAAATAATGAAGTTTTACTCCAAGTTACCGACACATTTATAAAAATCCAACTTATGGAGAGTTCATCACCAAAATTTAAAAAAAAATTATAAAGAAATATGAAAGTAGGATTTTAGTCCACACAAGTTTTGACACGTATCATCCATGAGTGAAAAATAAATAATTTCAAGAAACCATTAAAAATTTCAAACTTTTACCTTAGTATATAAACAAAATTATTTTTACCATGGGAAAACAAAGTAAAACAGCCCTTTAAAAAATGTGTTCCATAGAGCATTAAATTTGAATGTTCATTTACAAAATCTCATACGTCTCCAGTTAGAGCATATGATTGTATTGAATTGTAAACAAAGATGGTTTAAAGATTAGGCTTATTGTTTCTACCGTAACTCATTACGAATTGGATTTGATTGTAGTTTTAATCCACTCTACCCAGGCATACACTGAAACCAAGCCAGAAGGTAACTCACTCTCTGCACAACGAAATGACGTAGACGTTACGCCGACGATAAAATATTTCCCATTTGCCTTACAAATCATTGGGCCCCCTGAATCACCAGAACATGTCCCTTGGCCTTGCTCCTCATCGGCACAAAACAAATATTCTGTGTGGTTAAAACGAGAAATATAGCGAAGAAAAAACCTGCAAAGTTTATAATCCATGGGGTTGGATTTGATTTGCATCAAGTTTTTAGAACCTTCTCCCTCAGGAGCGGTTGCTCCAAATCCAATACTAAAACAATTTTTGGACTTGCTCATGTCCTCCTCGGGCAAGCAGACCGGCCTGATTGCGTCAGAGAAGACTATAGGAGATTCAAGCTTGAGAAGCAGGATATCATTGTAACCAATTCCATCTTTAACATAAAATTTTGTAAAACGCTTCTCAGCTTTTATAGGTTTTGCCGTGTCCACTTGCGTTATGTCATTTAATCCAAAATAAACCATGATAGTAGAGTTCTGTGAAATCATACAGTGCCCAGCTGTCAGGATCCACCACTCGGAGAGAATTGAACCTCCACACATCGCAGTTCCATCAGAGACATGTGTCAGGAGATAGACGTACCACGGCCAAGCATTCTCTGGAGCTTCCTCGCCCCTAACAACGGTCTGCGACTGGTCAACAAGAGTCTGACCACACAAGGAACTTTGTTCAAGTTTGTTGTTTGGGTCGGGTTTATGGACGTTGGTGTTGTTCACACCTTCTAGGATACTCTTAAACCTAGCTTGGAATTCTTCCATATCGAAGGAAACTTTTTCCAGTGTACAGACATTTTTGGTGATACCTTGAACGCCGAGATCCCCCGTCAACAGGACCAGCCAAACCAACACCTGTAACAGAAACATCAAGTATTATATTGTATGAGTTACTGCTGGTTTATGGACTTTTTTTACAAGGGCGAAAACAAACCTCTAGTACCGACATACATGACGTAAGAACACATAACCTGCTAAAGGTGAAATTGGATAAATATATAACAGGAATTCATGACCTAACAGACACTAGTTGTTGTGTTCGTACACCCCTTAACCCATGGGTTCCCAAACTGAGCTTTCTGGGGGGGGGGGGGTTGTTGCGAACTGGTAGACTAAAGCCTAGCTTTATTAACATCACTGGAAGTGCAAATGGAATAGAGAAGAAACAATGCGTATTGTTCAAAGTTGTTCTCAGTCATGAGTCTTTGAAAATTTGTTGCACCTTTACTGCCCTGGAATCCGCAAGAATTAATTTGACGATCTTCAACATGCAGGATTTGACGAAATTTTCTCCCGCTGTGTTGTTTTTGCTAGTCAATTTCTAATGCGACGTCATATGATGCTTGCACTATGTTTTCTTGGTGAAAACTTCATGTTCGACCAAGTCTATAGTGTTTACATCTAGCTTCATGCCGACGAAAGAATTCCATTTCTTTTTGGTGTGTTCCGAATGACTCGTCTCAAAGTGACGCTTTAGTTTTGAAGGTTATTTGAAACTGCATGATTAAAATGGGAAAGCAGCTGTGGGTTGTTTTTTTTTTTTACTTATGAAGCGCAATCTATGTTTGGGTCAAAAACTGGCTTTCAGAAAAAAGTAATAAATTTAGCTCCCTAATCAAAGGGAATCCACTGCATGATTCACCGGTATGCCCTCGTCAGCTAGACTGCCTAAACACCCGTCTGTTTAAAGAACTGTGCAAAGAGTAGTTGCAGAGAGAATCATACCTAGCAGATATTTTCGAACATCAACATACAAAATGAATGAATATTATCTTTTTTCATGATAACCTCGGGGCATTTTTATCAAAGCTGCTAAATTGGCGAAGAAGAAAAAAAGTCTTGGAAATATTGCCACGTTTGAGAAATTCTGGGCATCTTTAATCTCTTAAAAAAATTCATAAAAAACGTTTTAATAACAAGCTTTTATGTAATGATGCACTAAAAAGTAGAAAATAAATTATACACTACTATTTAAATTACTATAAAGAAAAGCGTGGGTCTCTTCTCAAATATTAGTAAAGGTATCCAATAGGTACTAAAGTACTAAAGTGACCCACGCTTTTCTTTATAGTAATTTAAATAGTAGTGTATAATTTATTTTCTACTTTTTAGTGCATCATTACATAAAAGCTTGTTATTAAAACGTTTTTTTATGAATTTTTTTCAGTACTTTACATGTTTTATTTACAATCGTGTTACATGACTAAAAACCATTGCGCGCCTACTGAACGTGATAGCGCGCCTACTGAAGGTGATGGCGCAGCTATTGAAAGTGATGACGCGTGTGGTGTGGTTGGATTGACATGCCTACTAATTCGGTCCGAATTTTAAGGGCAGGTTAACCCCCCCCCCCCCCCCCCCCCAAAATACATATTTAAGTCAGAAATGTTGATTTTTGAAAATCTATTGTTTCTGAAACTACATTCAATTCTGAACATTTTTGTATAATCATTTTGCAGAATTTCTTATTGCTAGTATTTTTTATAATTTTTTAATTAATGAGACTAATGACGTAATTGACCTATATTAAGCAACATTTAGCAACATAAAAATTAAAAACTAACTAAAATAGATGTTCGTATTGCTGAGTAAGAGGCCCCAGATGCAATTTATGTAACTGGTCGGTTTTAAAAATGACTTATTTGGTATAAGTTTCGCTTTTTCTCGTTTTTTTTCAAATTTAGTATATTTTTCACTATTTAGCGTTTTTCTCAAAATGTTACTTTTCAACAAAATAGTACCAGTTAAATCACTATAACTCAAAAACTACTTGAGATATTTAGCTGAAATTTTGCACACATGTTTACTAAACACTGCTTGTAAAGGTGAACTAAAAGAATTTCTATATCTTTGACACTTCTCATTTTATTAAAAAAAAGCTAAGTCTACTCCCTACTTTTTGGAAAAAATGTAGGTCTCACATTTAAAAAATTTGGCTAAAATCCATTTTTTATTATTTTCTAATTGTTTTAGTTCAACTTTTTTGTAATTGCGTATATTATACAACATTAAAGATTTGTGTTATTCTGACAAACAGAAGCTGAGTTATTGTGATTTCAATGAGAGCTAATTTTGAGCTATTTTACCCGAAAAATGACACTTTTTAGAAAATATTTTCACAAAACCATAACTTTTTAGTGATTTTTTTGCATTTTTTTCATATACTATGCTAGTTACAACTTCCTTATCACTCAAAAAAGTCCTAACACCTAAATTTCAATTTGGGGGTTTAACCTGCCCTTAATTAATTCATACAAAATTAATTAGGCATCCGATTAAGTCAAATTTAGTTTCAGATTGCATTGTCTTCATGTCTTGACCCACGTGCCAACTGTGAATCGTGTCGGTCAAGTAGAAGTGTCCGAATTTTCACTCCAGCGTTTCGATCTAGACTTACGACTGACGACTGGCGACTGACGACTGGCGACAGACAGAGGAAGTGAGTTAAATAAAAGCTTGTAAAAACGAACTGCGGCGTTCATTCCCTGAGCTAAAAGAAGAAGAATCCGCATTGACACGTTACCCATTCTCTGCTTCCTTTGATGTTGTTAGCATTCCCGAAGAATTGCTAGAAGAATTCTTAAACTTGTGGACTGATTCCGCGTCAGATAAAAAACTTCTCGCCCATTTTTACTTTCTCGTATACAGAGTATAGAGAAAGTATTGTAATCGTACACAAAAATCACTTAAAATTTTGACAGTTTTGACCGTATTACACCTCAGTCTTTCATCACATCCGAAGTATAGTGGTTTTATGCGTAATCCAGTCTGAAAAACTGGGCTTTGCAATTCTGTCCGTATGTCTGAGTGTCTGTGTGTCTGTCCGTGTGTAAACACGATAAACGTTACAGCTAGGTTGATGAAATTTCATATATAAGTATTTCATCTAAATCGTAGATTCTGATCAATTTTTGAGCGATTTCCGATAATCGGAAGTGGTACCTTTTTTACTTTGAATTTTTCAAAAGCTTATAACTTGAGTACTATTTCAGATAGATAAATGAAATTTCAGATGTAAGTGAAATATCTAATTCTCTACCTTCTGTCAAATTTTGAGTAATTTCCGTTGACCGAAAGCACAAATTTACGCTATTTCCGATTTTTCAAAAACAAAACGCATGTAAATTTATAAAGTACTCATAATATTGCGCACTATTATGCACATTTTGTTTTGGCGTTCGCTTGGTGCGCAATTCTTTTTTCTATGAGATTCTATTCTATTTTTAAAAGTTTAAGTAATTAAAAATCATGTCTATATTCCAAGTTATATAAGAATATTCGAGAAAGTTTAGGGGAGATCACTCCCGGTTTATTGGTTTAGTATGCCCAATTTATAACCAAACGTGAAATTGAGCGAGCTTTTAGTTTCTTTGGTATCTACATATCTTTGCGAGAATAGATCTTCAACACTTTTCAATTGAAACAAAACAAAGAAATAAATTGACTTATATTATAAGATATATCTAGGTAATCAGGTCCACACTTTAAGTTAAGAGACATCCGTTTATGACATCCACATGAAAAGGGGAGTGATGAATGGTGTGGGGGGAGGTGAGTGGGGAGAGTGAAGAGTATTTTGGGGAGAAGGAAGTAGAGAGAAGCGGGATACGGCTGGAGTTTGGGTAAAAGAACAGGGATTCATATGGGGTTAAAAGGCTATAAAGGATGGGATAGGTAATATGGGATATTGATTTGTGTTGTGCAGTGCAAATGATAGACCGTTTCCAAAGTGGAAACTGGGTTGTCTAGTTTAGCTTAACATTGGTCCTTAAGGACTTCACATTTTTATGAGATTTTCGGGCATCGTAGAGGTGGGGGAGGGGTGGTGGGGCAGTTCAGTGTGACGTTAAACAGATGAGTTTTTGAAAAACATCTAAATCTCGTAAAATTTTACCTACTTATTATTTTTCAATATATTTTACTTGTTGAAAATTTTAATGAAAATCGATCACGTAATCTAACATTGACCAGAATTTTGAGTATTAAATAGTTTTTAAAAATCAACCTATGCACAGGTGCGTTTATAATATTATTTGAATATTTTCGTTTCAGATGAAGCAAAACAATATTTTTTGGCAAAATCAACAAGCCTGGTAATACGGAAGGGAAATGTAGACCCTATGCATAGAAATCAAGAGAAGGGGGGAGTAATGTAATTTTAAAGGGGGGGGAGGGGGTGTCTAAGGTGAAAGGGGCGTAAAAATCGGCAAAAAAGGTGACTAGAACATACCTTGGGTGTGTGCTTAAAAATGTAGAACATTGCTATTTTGTCTTGTGTCTTTACATCATTTACACATCCTGACCAAGTTCTGTGAAAACAATAAAATCCAGTGAATAGACTTTCAGACTTGTCTCACTTGACTTTTTGTGTGATTTACCGTTCCGTGTATTGTGCTACTTTACATTGTTGATAGTATAACTCTTTCAGATGATGTAATCGCTCCGATTAGCTATTTCCTCGTTCCGAAAAGCCTGGTATGTCGGACTCCCGATTCCCCGGCATTATAGAGTGGGGGAGTTGAGGTGCAAGACTGCCGGGAACCAAAAGGGGTCTGCTCTCGACCCTAACCAGATATTTTGACTTTAAGCTGCGGCCTTCACGTGGCTTCGGAAGAGTGCCATCAGTCGGACCAAGCCAGAGGCGTAGCGACCCTTCCCGGCGCCCGGGGACAAACTTTTCGATTTGCACTCCCCCCCCCCCTCAAGATTTCGATTTGCACCCCCCCTCCCCTCAAGATTTAGATTCATCCCCCCCTCAAACTTTCGATTTGCACCCCCCTCAAGATTCCGATTTGCACCCCCCTCAATCTTTCGATTTGCACCCCACCCCTCAAAATTTTGATTTGCACACCCCTCAAATTTTCAATTGTTTTACCCATTTTGGCACCCCCTAAGGTCGGCGCCCGGGGACATATGCCCCCCCCCCCCCCCCCCGCTACGCTACTGGACTAAGCTCATGATCCCCTAGTGGGTGCGGAATGGCTAGTGGCAGCTAACAGCAGCTAGAGGCTTTTAATCTGGCCGAACGCCCCCCCCCCCCCCCACAATCAAGCTGGGTATCAGGCGGTAGGACGACGTCCCGTGTCTGGTGGGTGGGGAAGGAAAGCCCGGTGAGAACCGACGGAGAAGCGACCGATGTGTAGCGATCTAACCGACACTAAACGACTTGCTACTACCACCATGTGTCGGAGTTTGCTACACTGAGGCGTGCCTGGCAAATTGGAGCCCGACAGTTTGCTACACTGAGGCCTGCCTGGCTAATGGAAGTCAACTTCTGAGCCGGTTTCCGTATAGAGAGAGAACTATTTCCTCGAAATGTAAAAGTTTATAATTGAAACATAAATCTAATAGTTAGAATGATGTTACGATAATTAATTGTAGTGCATCATCATGTCATCATCTTTTCCAGTTCGTGCCCAAAACACATGAGGCAGATAAGGTACAGTTCATCTGTTTCAGAGCATTCGGTATATGAAAGGAAAGTGGTCAGCACTGTGCCCAGCGGCCCATGTTTTCCCTACCATGAGTTATGTACCCATCAAGGTTGGGTGGACTCATGGCCAATCTACTGACTTGAACCCGGATTCGAACTCGAGACTTTCGGGTTAGCAGTCTACCTGGGCCAAAGCGCCCCAATTATATTGAATACGGCATGAAATACATAAGGAAATAAACAACAATTTAAACGGTGTCTACTAACGTAAAACTTCAGGTAAAAATTTTGATTTAGATCTAGCTGTATCTAAATAGAAAGTAGCGAAAACTATTTTCAATTTTTCTGCAATGGCAACTTTTATATTATTGATTCGTAAAACTTAAAACTTTACATTTCTGATTTCTGATCCATGTCAACTATAATGATCGTAAGTACGTCATTGACACAGTGGAGTCCATTTTATCTGACCATTTAACCTTTTTTTAAAAGTAATCTAGTATCCAGATCTATCTAGATCTAGTGGTCTCTGTCCATCTGCACTCACGCAGCGGAACTCTATTCGGCGCTTTTTAATTACCGTTTCACATACAAACAAACCGGAAGTATCATGAAACTGCATCCATTCTACTATAATGTCGTAGATATCTATATGAGTCATGTTTTTATACGCATAGCATTGGAGATAATTTAAATCCCGGCTGTGAACCTCCTTTTGCTCAAGCCAATCACTTTTACATAGCCAATTTATAACTCCAAATAAAGTAAAATACTTTTATAAAAATATTTTTATATCAACGCATAATAGAGGATGTACTTACTTATTGTAGTTTTGTTTTCAACTAATGCAAGAAAGTAATGTGTTAAATGGTGCGGTAATTTTATTTTAAAAGTTGCACACTTTTCGAGATTTCTTTGACATTACAGAGCATTGATGTTATGAAACTAGGTAAAACCTTAGTTTAGCGTATGAAATGATCTAGTATTTTTCGATAAGTTTCGTATATGTATGGTACGGGTAAACCATGTTTTATTTTACCATTAAAATATGAATAATGTCGATCTTAGTAAATTATTGTTTTAATTTTTTTAGTTTAATCAACATAGAGAAATTGGAATAATTGGGATATAATAATAGGTTTAAATTAGTAAATCTAAAAATATATAAATAATAAAGTCAAATGCAGTAATCAGTTTAATGTTTTTGACTTGCAGAGGATTTGCGATAATCAATTAACTAGATCTACTTAGCTTCTTGGCCTAAGTAAAAATAATTACGGACATAGTAAAAATGACTAGAACAATGTTTAGTAGCAGAAATATTTAGCAGAAACACTTTAAAAAGACTTAACAGTTAGCAATAAAAATCAATCCATCCAAATTTTAAGCGTTCTATATCTTCTCTATACTACTAAAATTCAACTTTGTGTATATGTTTAAATATTTATTTGTTTGTCTGATTTACTACTGGAGAGAATCTGCCATATGTATAGACCTGTAAAATAGTAGAGAACGATTTTTCTTTTCAGACAGACTGTTAATCACAAATTTATTTAAAGACCTTAATTAATTAATTGATTTATTCATTTGGTAGATTAACCACATTAATTTTAAAAGTTTCAAACAATAGCTTTATTTTGACTGAATAGCGACGTCCAATTATTTGTTTACTTTTTACTACAATCAAATGGCGGCTTCTGTCGAAGAAGATTGTGTTCCCATTCCAATGTTTAACGCGTTCTAAAGCTAATTTTCTGTCGGCTATAACTTTAACAATACGTCCGTTTGCTGTATTTATTACGTTCCAACACTTATATCAATTTTCAACTGTCTTTTTCATTTAGTTTTACACTAAATTTCTCTAGCTCTACAATCTGTCCAAAAAAGTTATTTATAGATCTAAATATCAGGTGGCCAAGAAAGTTTTTTTATAGATCTAGATCTAGAATAGGTCAAACCAAAGATTAATTACATAAAAATACAATCCATTTTATAATCATAATACATTTTTTAGTCATAAAATACTTGATATAAATCTTTGAGATTAATAGTGCGCAATATTATTAGTACTTTATAAATTTACATGCGTTTTTTGAGAAATCGGAAATAGCGTAAATTTGTACTTCCGGTCAACGGAAATTACTCAAAATTTGATAGAAGGTAGAAATATAGATCTTTTACTTACATGTGAAATTTCATTTATCTATCTGAAATAGTACTCAAGTAAGTATAACGAAGTTAAAAGTTTCACAAACAGGTATCAAGTCACTCAATATAACACATCTAAAAATATTAATTTCTTTCAAAGTTATCACATCAAATGGCCTCATCATATTTTCAAAATGTGAGCCAACCATAGCCAATTTATCAAAATAAACAAAGGGCGATTTTTAACATTGAAAAATCTTATAAAATAGATGTGTATACCCCGAGATCGAACCCACAGACAGATGAGGCTCGACAACTTGGGACAGCAACTTTTCTAGGAGAGACAACTCCAAAATCAAACAACTGCTGTCTTGAAGTTTGTTCTTGGTTGGACAAAGACTATGGAAGCAAATCCAAAAAGAAAAGAAGGCTAAAATAAAGTCAACGGACTGCATGGCGCAAAACAATGTGACATGTAGAAGTTAATTGTGTAGGAGGGAATTTCTTGCACCACTACAAATTAAGAACGAAAGAGAAGAAATATGGTATAGTGGATAGAAACTTGATCTGTCGAGGACTAGAGAAAAAAAAAGCTCAACTGTCTCGTGTGTTTTCTGCCAAATATTTAGACAAGAGATATCTCACCAATGCTTTTTTTGTGTGCACTGATATTGGTAGTAATTACCTCATCATAAAGTAACACATACACAATTTTTTACCCTTATGTAGTTGTTAGAACTAAAAAAAATAAAAGTTTTAAGAAAAGTAAAATTTGTGATAATGAAGGTAGTTTATAACGGTTTAGAATTAGTCAATTTTCCAATTCATTACATCTCTAAAGATTAATTCAAAACGAAGACAATATTCAATTTTTTATTGCTTTAAATAGAGAAACAATATATATTTTTTCTAAGCTAATTAAATAAACGCAACAAAATTAATTATAAAATAAAACAAGGGAGATAACAGTTTTTTTAAATACAATTATTGTACGGTAACAACAAATACACTTTTGTTTAACTTTGATCTTCTTTCAAATCATAAGTTCTTGAAGGAAAGTTTAAAGAAACACAAACCCATGCAACAGTAAAAAAAAAACAACAAACAACCGGGAGTGATCTCCCCTAAACTTTCTCGAATATTTTTATATAAAATAACAGGGGATGGGAACTCGGGCTATAGACATGATTTTTAATCCATTTTAAATACTTAAAGTTTTAAAAATAAAATAAAATCTCGTAGACAAAAGAATTGCACACCGAGTGAACGCTAAATAAAAAAGTGCATAATAGTGCGCAATATTATTAGTACTTTAAAAATTTACATTAGTTTTTTGAGAAATCGGAAGTAGCGTAAATTACTACTTCCGGTCAACTCAAAATTTAACAGAAGGTAGAGAATTAGATCTTTTACTTACATGTGAAATTTCATTTATCTATCTGAAATAGTACTCAAGTTATAGGCTTTTGAAAAATTCAAAGTAGGAAAAGTACCACTTCCGGTTATAGGAAATCGCTCAAAAGCTGATACGGATCTACAATTTTGATAAAATACTTATATATGAAATTTCATCAACCTAGCTGCAACGGTACTCAAGTTATCGTGTTTACACACGGACAGACAGACAGAAAGACACACAGACATACGGACAAGATTGCATAATTATGTTGTTCCGTATCAGTGAGGTGTAAAACGTCGAGATTTGTAAAAATCTCGATTTTTTTTTTGCACGATTACAAGACTTTCTCTATACTTCGTATATATGAGAAAGTAAAAAGAAAAATAATGTACAGTTTTGCTCCAAGCTACCGACACATTTAAAAAACTCCAACTTACGCAGAGTGCATCACCAAAATTGAGAAAATTTAGAGAGATATATTAAAGTAGGATTTTAGTCCACACAATTTTTTTGACACGTATCACACATGAGTGGAAAATAAAGATCTTTACGAAACCCTTGCAAAGTTTAAATTTTTTACCTTAGTTACTAAACAAAATTATGTTTACCATGGGAAAACAAAGTAAAACAGCCCTTTGAAAAATGTGTTCCATAGAGCATTAAATTTGAATGTTCATTTACAAAATCTCATACGCCTCAAGTTAGAGCATATGAATGTAATAAATTGTAAACAAATTTGGTTTAAAGATTGGGCTTAATGTTTCTACCGTAACTCATTAGGAATTGGATTTGATTGTGGTTTTAATCCATCTATCCAGGCATACACTGATACCAAGCCAGAAGGTAACTCACTCTGTGCACAACGATATGACGAAGACGTTACTCCAACGATAAAATATCTTCCATTTGCCTTACAATTCATTGGGCCCCCTGAATCACCAGAACATGTCCCTTGGCCTTGCTCCTGATCGGAACAAAACAAATATTATGTATGGCTAAACTTAGCAAGATAGCGAAGGAAAAACCTGCAAAGTTTATAATCCATGGGGTTGGATTTGATTTGCATCAAGTTTTTAGAACCTTCTCCCTCAGGAGCGGTTGCTCCAAATCCAATACTAAAACAATTTTTGGACTTGCTCATGTCCTCCTCGGGCAAGCAGACCGGCCTGATTATGTCAGAGAAGGCTATAGGAGATTCCAGCTTGAGAAGCAGGATATCATTGTAAAGAATCCCATCTTTAACATAACATTTTGTAAAACGCTTCTCAGCTTTTATAGGTTTTGTAGTGTCCAATTGTGCCATGTCATTTAATCCAAAATAAACAATGATAGTAGAATTCCATGTTATCATACAATGCCCGGCTGTCAGGATCCACCACTCGGAGAGAATTGAACCCCCACAACCCCCAGATTCATCAGAATCATGTGCCAGGAGAAAGACATACCACGGCCAAGCATTCTCAGGAGCTTCCTCACCATTAACAACGGTCTGCGACTGGTCAACAAGAGTCTGACCACACAAGGAACTTTGTTGAAGTTTGTTGTTTGGGTCGGGTTTATGGACGTTGGTGTGGTTCACACCTTCCAGGATACTCTTCAGCTTAGCTTGGTATTCTTCCATAGTGACGGGAAGTTTTTCCATTGTGCAGACATTTTTAGTGATACCTTGAACGCCAAGATGCCCAGTCAACAGAACCACCCAAACCAACACCTGTAACAGAAACATCAAGTATTATATTGTATGAGTTACTGCTGGTTTATTGACTTTTTTTACAAGGGCGAAAACAAACTTCTGGAACAAACAATAGAACACCTACATAAGGAGAAATTTGATAAATATATAACAGAAATTCATGACCTAACAGACATCAGTTAATGTGTTCGTACACTAAAACTTTCACTTAAAAAAATAATAAGATGGCACCTGATGGTCGGTCGACCTATAAGATTAACTAGGTAATCAGGTACACACTTAAAATTAAGAGACATCCTTTTATGACATCCACATGAAGAGGGGTTTGTTATGAATTGGGTGTGGGGTGTGGGGGGGTGATTGGGGAGTGTGGAGAGGCGGGATTGGGCGGGATCGGAATTTTGGTCAAAGGACAGGGCTTTATATGCAGTTAAAAGACTATAAAGCATCGTTTGGGTAATATGGGATATTGGTTTGTGTTGTGTAGTGTAACCGATAGACCTTTTCCGAAGTGGAAATCAACAAGCCTGGTAAAACGGAAGGGCACTATGGGCTCTGTGCAAAGAAATCAGGGAATGGGGAGAGTGGTGTAGTTTTAGAGGTGGGGGAGGGGGTGGTCAGGAAAATTGTGTTAATGTCTGACCATATGAACGGGATGTAAAAATCGTTTAAAAAATAAGATGACAAGAACATACCTTGGATGCATGATTTAAGTTGTAGAACATTGCTATCGTATATTATGTCTTTACATCATTAACATATCCTGACCAAATTCTGTTAAAACAATAATATCCAGTGAATAGACTTTTAGATTGGTCTCTTTTTACCTTTTGCGTGATTTACCGTTCCATGCCCAGCAGCATTTGTTTTCTCTAACGTGAGTTAGGTAACCACTAGAGCTGAGTGGACTCAGGGACATTCTTTTGACTTTAACCTGGTTTCGAACTCGAGACTTTCGAGTTAGCAGTCTAGCTATGTCACACCGCCCAAATTATAGTGAATACGGCATGAAACAACAAGATATCAACAACGTTTCAGTTTGTCTTGCTAACGTAAAACAGGTAAAAATTTAGATAAGGTTGTAAATAAATAGAAATGTAGCCATAACCGTTTCAATTTTTCTGCATATATATATATATATATATATATATATATATATATATATATATATATATATATATATGGTTCCATGACAAATGATCACAGGACAAATGATCTCAAACAAAATATCTCAGACAAAATATCACACGGACAAATGATCTCAAGGACAAATGATCTCACGGACAAAAGATACCAGGACAAAATATATCAGGACAAATGATATCATGGACAAATGATCTCAGACAAAATATCTCAGACAAAATATCTCACAGCGAAATTTTAATAGTATGTACGATGATTTTAGTTGATTTGAACTTTTTTTTATTGGCTGTTAATACGGGTTTGTTTGCTTTTTATGCATAACAATTGTGAATATAATGAATTTGTTAAACCTAACAAACAATCAAAAGATTTATTAAACTTTGTAATAGCATTTGATTTGAAAAAGTAAAAATTATAACATACTTATTTCTTTAGCCTGAAAGGTATAAAAAATGATAATGTATAAAACAAATAAATTATCGGTATCTATACAACATAAATGTTCAAAACACGCGAAATATTTTTCAAAAATGTGAATGGGTCTTCAGGTTTGTAACGTAAAACTATTGTTTTTATTGCATCATCACGTTTACGTTTCATTCTTGGAGGCCATCACCACTAATATACTGCTTTGTTTGATGCACACTAAGACAAACTTAGCTCCGCGATGACCGCTGTCGTTTAAATAAGCATTTGTTACATGATCACTAAGGTGTGACCGACGCATAACTTTTGACTTTGGATGTTACTTGCATTGTCCATGGACGACGGATGTCTTTCCCTTTAGGCATGTCTCTGCTATCAAATCGGGCTGCCACCTTGCTACAAAGGTGTGTCTTTATTGTTATTTCATTCCCTTTGATCTAGTTTCGTCCACCTGACATTGTACGAGACAGCGTATGTTTGGCAAGCACACCTACGCTGTCTATCAAAACAATTTCTGTAATCTTCGTATAATATATTACTAATACTAACTTTAAAATGTTAAGTGCAATATGACACATTTATACGGCAAATATTTCTTACAATTATTATATAGGCCTATAAACAATATTAAACATTGTAAACAAAACCATATGACAGTCAATAAAAAAATTCAGATCAACTAAAATCATCCACTACACTATTAAATTTCAAGTGTGAGATATTTTGTCTGAGATCAATTGTCCGTGGTATCATTTGTCCTGATATATTTTGTCCTGGTATCTTTTGTCCGTGAGATCATTTGTCCTTGAGATCATTTGTCCTGTCACCATATATATATATATATATATATATATATATATATATATATATATATATATATATATATATATATATATATATATATATATATATATATATATACAGAATACAAACATTATATATTAATTTCTGGCTTGAGCGGGTTTTGAAAAATATGTTTGCAGTAATACTGACTAACCTCCAGAATATAGTCGGTCAAAAGAATATAAATCGTGAAAGCTTTGTATGTGTAATGTTTTCTCGTGTTATGTTTATTTTTTTGTTTTCTTGTATATATATTATTTATTTTAAATACATTTCCTTTTTATGCTTAGTCATTCTTTAGTATGTATTTTTAAAAATAAAGTAATTAAGATAAGGAATTGCTTTTTAATTTGTTTAGTACAAATATATTAAAAGGAGTTTATGAGCACCCCTATTTAACTATTTAAAAAAGGGAAATAAGTCATAAATGTTTTGAACGTTTGCCTATCTTTCACACTACAGCTAAGACATATATTTTTTTTTACGCAAAGCATGTGTTAGCTACTGTATAACATCACTACTGTAGTAGATCGGTTTGTTATTTACAAAAAGCTTTTACCGTCAAGTAAAAAATGCAAGAACATTTTTTAAACTATAAAATTTTATTATGGTCGGCTATCGGCTCCTAAATGGCGTGCCCCCCCCCCCCCCCACCCGCATTGCGGGGTCTGGCGGCACTGTAGTTCCGCCCTTGGATTCTAGATAGGTCTAGATTCTTTATCTGGATTCGTGTATTGGTGATCATTTTACATTGCCAACTTATATAGATCTAGAATCTAGATCCAGATCTAGATCTATTTCGAAATAAAGAAAATTACTTCAAAAAAACTTTTTGGTTTATCAACACAGAGAGATCTAGATCTACTTACCCGTAGTTTTGTATTCTATTAATGAAAGCAAGTGATCTCTTCTACTTCTAGCTTTTAGATATCGCTTTATTTTTATTTATTTTTATCACAAAACCAACTTTTTAAAAATAAATATATCGGCTGTTTAGTGCAAATTGGTGCAGTAATTTTATTTTTTAAAGTTGCACGTTTATCGAGACTTCTTTGACATTACAGAACATTGATGGTTATTATACTAAATCAATTTGGTTTTTATTTTATATTTGAGATAAGTTGTAGGCCTAATTTAATAAAACTGTCGTTTTGGAAAATTTAGAAAGATTAAATAAATACTAAGATATAATATTATTAGGCTACGCAGTGGCGTAGCGAGGTCGGATGTCACCCGGTGCGGCACTTAATGGTGTCACCCCCCAGAGGCGTAGCGACCCTTCCCGGGGACAAACTTTCAAGTTTTCGATTTGCACCCCCCCCCCCCCGCTCAACTTTTCGATTAGCACCCCCCCCCTCAAACTTTCGATTTGCACCCCCCTCCCTCAAACTTTCGATTTGCACCGCCCCCCCCCCCCCCCCCTCAAGTTTTTCTCTATATTTTTTGCTATTTTTGCCTTGTATCACCCCCCTAAATGGTGTCACCCGGAGCGGTCCGCACCCCCGCACCCCCCTCCCCCTCCCCTCGCTACGCCTCTGAGGCTACGTGGAATTAGTGATTAAAAAAAATAATTTCCATTTTGCAATCTTCTTAGCCTTTCTTAGAAATGGCTTGTTTCGTGAACTGGTTATATAAATTATTCAATGAGATGAAAAGATCAACATAAAAGACGCCACAGGTAATAAAGTCACGTAAGATAATTCTCTGTATAAGAAATCACAAAAAAAAAACGTTACAATAAATGGAGTTTTGTACGTTAGAAATGGGGAATTTTAAAATTTCACGTCATGAACATTTAAAAAAGAAATCGCACAATGAACCGGAAGTAAAACAAACTTTTCTGGAGCTTTACGTTTTAAAAATATGACGTCATGAACACAATTGCTCTCGGAAGTCCGCTACTTTTGGTTAAATTTGCTTGTTGATATCCCACACTTTGTCTCGGTTTTTTATGAGACCCGTGAGAGCGATCATGAAAGTTTGGGGAACTTCTTTGTTGACCTGTTGGGATCTTTTCCGAGCGAGAGAATCCTTGGTGATGTCGAACGTCTGCCCTTTTCAGGATGTTTGGCCAACAACCTGCCGGGGGCAGGGTTCTTATGGCTCATTTTAGGACGTAAGGTTTAGTGAACTTCGGGAAGGCATTGAGGAACTCTAAACCGGATTGACCTTAGGCCTACGGACTACAGCTCACATGGACTGAGCAGGAGCGCCATCTCCAACTTGGCGCGTCCATAGCTGGCTGGATAATGGGACGTCTTCATAATATGATCGCATAATATGGAGACAGCTGCGAATACTGAATAAGCAGCCGCGGACCAAACTGGCAGGGACTCTCCCACCCCGAAGTAACTCCGAGACATGGTCCTATCATCATCACAGATATTTTAAAAACAAAAAAAAAACAAGTTTTTAAATTGAAAAATGGGGGAAAAAAATATTTTAAAAATTTCTTTCTTGGTAAAAGCTTGCACGCTATTTCATAAGCGAAAAATGCTTGTACTAAAGAAAGTTTGTTTTCTATTTTTTCCTTTCCGATTTTCAGTCATTTAAAAACTTATCATTATATTTTTATAAAATAGTTTAACATTTCTTTCGTTTATGAACGACTCGAAAAAGATGTTAAAAGAAAAAAATGTTAACATGGCCCATTATATGTTTTTAAAGCTATGCAAAAACCCAATTTACCGTCTGACTGAGTCTCGCCTTGATGTCTGTTCCCAAGCCCCCGTCCCTGTCATCAATATGCTACTTCACATAGGCCACCTCCTGATGGCTACTTTGTACGGGCCACTTCCTACGGGCCACTTCCTACGGGCCACTTCCTACGGACCACCTCCTACGGGCCATTTCCTACGGGCCACTTTCTACGGGCCGCATCCTGCAGGGTTTTATGTGAACTTTTCCACTTCTTCCGGCGCTTTTCATCTAATCTATTTTTATTTTTTAAACTTATTGGTAAGTCTGTTGTAAATGCTGTTTTTCAAATAAAATATTTTTTGTGTGTATTGTATGTTAACTCTATAAGCAGTCATATACATTACATGAAATTACCCAATTTAACCCCCCACTCACTCCCACCCCCAGAATCCCAGCCACTATTATACAAATAATCTTGAGTATGTCGTTATAATTAACAATTTTTCATAATATTTATTATTACAAGGTTTAGATCGCACGTCTTAACACCCCCCTCCCGGGATATTTTCGTTAATGCCTGCACCCTAAGTGTCATAACTAAGACGACCCCTAAAGTAAAACACAACAACAAATCCAACGAACGTTTTCGATCAATTTAATTTTTTTACACTCTCTCGTGCACTCTCTCGTTTAAAAAAAAAGAAACTTAATGATATCTGAATGCCAGAGGATTGTGTTGTCAGCTTTATACCCAGCCACCTTTAAATCCCTAATGTGTAGCAATTTGTACAGGTTCGTTCCATGAATTAGACCATATTGAACTACATTTTTAGGTTCGCTAAAGTACAAAAACTCTATTTACACCCCCACCCCCCTTTTCCCTATTCTGACACTAACCTACCTCACAATCGGTATTCTGATATTCCTTGTAACAAAGAAACATAAAAGACTTAGTGTTAGAAATCCTCTTTAAAACCAAAAGAAAAAAAATTGCAGAAAAAAAGATCGAGTTTAGCCCAAATTACTTTGAGAGAGGAATAAAGCTGATTCGCCCCCCCCCCCCCCCCCCAAGAGATGCCTGGAAGAAACTCTGCTGTTAATTATAATGTAAAAGAATAAACATGATATCATACACGTATACCAATTAGCCAAAGATTAGTTTTATGCTTTAACATACATACTGTCATAGACACACTTTTAATATGTAAAGAAAAATAGCACATAATCATAACAAATCATGCGTAACAAATCATTACAAAAAGCTAATAAAAACTTAACGCTGTATGTCGGAACTAAAACAGTGCGGACCGCACCGGGTGACACCATTTAGAAGGTGACACCAATGAGAAAAATCGCAAAATATACAGAAGAAAAATGCTTTTTTTGCCGGTTCCATTAATGATTAATTATTACAAGGGGTGGGGTGTCAGAATGACGTAAACCTGCTAACTATAGAGAAAACAATGATATATCAAACTTTATTATTATAGATAAAAATCGTTACTTTTAAGTCTACAGTGACTAACGCGCATATGCACATATATGTGCGCGTATGCGGCATATATTTAAATTATAGACCTACGTAGGCCGACACATACACCCACACATTTATTTATTTTCTTGGGTTGGGTGGAGGGGTGACACAATGAAGTGCCGCAATGAGTGACACCCAACCCAGCGACGCCACTGCTCAAAAGGTGAGCTAAAATGGATTCTTTTTAATGTTTTTTTTTCTTTCATCTCTTTTCTAAAAATAAAACTTATAGAAATAATTGAAGGTTCCGTCATGTTTAAAATTATACTTCTGCGTTTTAATCATCTAAATATAGAACGTATTCTTTAAGTATGTTTTGTAACTGTGGGGAGCTCTTTTGCGTTTACCGGAAATTGACCACATTAGACCACTTTCGAAATTCTGTGGTTTAAAAATATTTTTAAATAACTGTTTGAAACATAATAAAAAATAATTCTTATGTTTGATTTTTAGTATTGTTTCTTATTAAAATTAAATTCAAATGAGGCTTAAAGATACATATACACAAAATTTAAATAAAAAAAACCTAATACGAAAGCAAAGTTACTATTATTAGATAGTTTGTGCGGAACTTATATCATGGCGGACTTTGGAGATTCCCTGTTTCAGTTGCTAGTCTTGAAAAGTGATAATCATCAAGGAGAATATTAGATTAAAAATCACTGACGCCTACTTTATCATCATTATGAAAACCTGACATTTGCTTCTTGTTATGAGTGAAGTATTGAATGTTGAAAGCGTCAAATCTCCAGATAAAGATGCCAAAAGTAATGGCACTGGCAACGCTGGAGACGGACGAGATCAAAATCCACCAGCAAACAGAGCTGTTGATCGTCGTGGTCGAGGTGAAGGATTTTATTCATCTGAAAACAGATCAAAACAGTCATCAATGAGAAACGATATATCATCTCGAGATGAAAGAAATCACTCTTATTCAGGTAGAGATGGATATAGAACTAAAGAGAAACCCCGGAGAAGTTCAAGTAGAGGAAACACCAAAGTCAGTAATTTGAGTAATTCTACAACTGCTAGCAATAACTCCATAAATGACAGTAGCACTGGAAGTAACGGAAGCATTTCAAGTTACAGTAATAGAGTCAGAAGAGCAGAGGAAATGGATAGAAGAGGTCAAAACAGCATTAACCGACCTGGAAGGCGAACTGAGGAGCCATTAGCACGCTCACGAATCCAGGGACCCCCACCACCGTCAAACTCAAGTTTTGATAAAAAAGGTAAGTAAATAATGAAACATGCATGGAAGTTCCAAGTCTATCTAAATCACATTTATAGATTTTTAGGTCTATTTGTTTTAGTGATGGAGGCATATTGTTATGCTGGAAAAGGATCTTATTCTCTCACTAAGAGTCTCAGTCACAAGCAGTTGGTATCTTTCCTTTCCTCGAGAATTTGTTTCCCTAAACAATGAAAGACTGTAGAACTACTTATTCTTTGATTACGGGCATTACTTCCATTTAACTTACACAATAAAACTTGAAAAATACAATAGGCCTAAATTAATTGTTTAGAAACAATGCTTAAGCTTACAACTTTCCTCTTTTAGAATATGGCTTATTGTATTTTTGATTTCCAGCTTTACCTGAGATTTAAAAAAAATAGTTTTAATGTGTAATAGGGTGTTGAGTTTTTGTTGTCATGATAGGCTATGTCAATCCCAAGAGCTAAGTTTTCTTGCTGGGGGGGCTAATATTTTGTGTTTAAGAGTTTACCGAGATAGGGATATTTAATGAAAGTGGCTATTTATTCAGACCCCTGTCATAATAGCCATGGCTGCACACACTCATACAGACTGTTTTAAAATGATTCTTTTTATATTTATTTGATTTTTCTTGTGGATTTTCTAGTAATTTGTTGTATTTTATTGTAATTTGGTATGTGGATTTGCTAGCGTTAGTTATTGTGTTGCTATTTCTAAATACCCTATATTTAGCTCTATCTACAAAATCATTAAATTTATTATATATATATAAGACGTCGTGGCCAAGTGGAGAATGTCATGCCTCCCAAATCTCTATCAGTTATGGGTTGGGAATCTATCTAAGAAAGGAATACTTTGGTAGATCTAGATCTAAAACAGTCCGTTTTTGCTAGAAGTAAAGTGTATTTTAACTAAGTTTAATGTTCTATCTTGATAGTTGTGTTGTTTGCATAGTTGTCTTTTTTTTTTAAATTGTTTTTATAGATTCTATATCTTATCTAGCTTTAGGTTTTTAAACATGGCAATCATTTGCTCCATTGATCGCCCACTCACATTTTCTCGTCAGTGTGAGAAAAATAGCGATACTGTCTAGCTAGCCCAGGAGCTGTAGACTGTAGCCTATATTGAGCAATTTTATACAATTATTTTTAGCGCAATTTCCATTCTGGAGAATTGTGTTTATTAACCCGTCATTTCTGGATGTATGAATGAATGGATGTGTGTCCGCAGCTTTAAGTCGTATCTCCTCCTCAACGAAGCAATATCGAGGACTAGTTTCAAAAGCAATTATGTTAAGCAAGTTACAAGGATGAACATAGGTCAAAAAAATTCTGGGTTTCTTCCATGAATTTCCAGGAAAAGCCACAAAACCTCAAAAAAATGCAGTTTTTGGCCCATATCTCGGCAACCAGACCACTTAGTGACTTGAAACATGTACCAATCGATTCCTGCCATAATTTAGAACAATATTGCCGAAGAAAGTTTTCAAAAATATCCTTTCGTTCAATCGCAAAATTTTTTTTGAATTAATTAAAATTTGGACAGAATTAGTAGGCATTTTTATCCAACCACACCACACGCGTCATCACGTTCAATGGCTGCGAAATCACGTTCGGTAGCTAGGCGCGCAATGGTTTTTAGTCATGTAACTCTGTTGTAAATAAAACATGTAAAATACTGAAAAAAAAATTAATAAAAAACGTTTTAATAACTAACCAATGGTTTTACTAACCCTGCTCTTGATTTACGCTACGATAACAACAAGGAAATTGCGCTAAAATTGTCACTAGACTTTTTAATTACCTTGTTTTTGTATTTGGACTGATAGGCCTATAAAATTAAATTAGGTTTATCAGACAAAATCACAAAAAAATAAAGCAAATTTGTATGAGTGCGCTCAACATTCGCTCGGTCAGAGTTCATGCTATAGGCCATATATTATAGACTTAGACTCCTGCTCGCCAAAACATTTGCCAGGAATGATATCGGGTATTTAAAGCAAGATCTCAATATATCATTTAGAATTACAAGAAAATAATCACAAGAACAGAAAATATATATTATGCATCTTAAAAGAATTATTTTTGAACTAAATCTGAACAATTTTATTGGCTGGTAGAATAGCGGCCAAGGCTTTAGGTATAAGGACCCGGGTCAAAATAGTGGCCGTAGCTATTGGGACCTGGGTCCGAATAAATGCATCCATATTTAATATTTACACATAACACTACAATTACCTTTGTGACTTTTTCTATTGTACTATTACTATAAATTATTTGGAATTTTACTTGATTAGGCTTACTGATTGTCAAGTTGTAGATCTTTAAGAAACTGGAATAGTTTTACGGCTTAAAATCAGTATATTTTGGTCTAGCACTATAGTCTATTTATTAATTAATAAGTTAAAATATTTACTTGGTGGAAAGTCTTATTTTACAGCATACCCAAAAAGATTTAAAGTTAATTATTTTTAGGTCATATTTAAAATGATAAATAAAAGGATGCATTTACAATTGACTAGGCTCAACAAAACAACTTTTTAAAACTATTTACAAAAAAATGTAACATAATACATTAGTAATTATGATAGTATATTATTTTTAAAATGTGACATATTTATCCATTTTTAGAATAAATTTTTGTTCATCTTCTTGTTTTCAAGGCACTATCAATCAACATTTCAGTTTATTTTTTTTTGTCTTGTCTTTATATTTTAGGTGGGTATTTAAATGAATTGGAGGGGTTTGTGTAACAATATATATTAGATTATATAAAATCCTATTTTAAAAAATTACAAGCAGGTGACGGAAAGGATTTGAACAAAGGTTATGTTGAAGACCCACTTATAAAACTAATGAAAAGGATTACCCGTGTGGGTTTTGAAAGAGATCGTCGAATAACTTCAGCCCGTCAGTTGAAAGATTACCTACATGGACCGGAAGTTAAGACCACCAAGGTATTTTACCATACACTGTTCATTTATCTTCTCAGCATTAAATGTTTTGCCTTGATACACAATCCTTAAATTTAACTGACTTAGATTATTGAGTGTTGTTTTTACAAGTTTTTATTTTCTTTTTAGACAACAAAACAGATTTATGATGCAATTCACTGCTTACAGAATGTTCTATTTGAAAGGTAAATTTTAATAATAGATAACTGTCCCCACTTTCTTTTTGTAGTTTTTATTTTCAATAATATGTAAGCTGTGTGTCTGCATGGTCAGGTTCAACAATGAAGAACACGAATACTAACCAGAAGGAGTCTTGAGTTATGCACACAGGCTTTAAGTGACTTAATTCAATCCCACTCTGGTGGGTACCTGACAAGTACTCAAGTATGGAAAAGTTAAGGTGGCTAACCATACTAATTTTAATATGCTGAAGTCAGAGAAAAAGATAAACTCTACTTCACCTGCCACACAGACTCTCTGGTGTTAAAAGGTGTTATACATTTTTTATTTTGTGTAATTTTGTTCTATATTATTAAAAATATATCTTTTAAAAAAATTGAAATTAGAAGTGGAAAAGAGCTTAAGCAGGAAGTTGCAATTTGCATAGGCATGTTAGGGAGCTTTCTGGGACAAGAAATTCCAAGGTAATTTTATTTTTTTTGTTTTTCTTTTTAATGAAAGAAAAAATAATTTTTCAGAATAATTACAGAGTTGTACTATTAAATGATCGACAAATTGTGTGGTTAACTAGTGTGAATTAGCTTATAATGAATTTGTATTTTTTTTTACTAAGTTTTATTCTGGTAGATCATAGTTTTACATTTAAATGTGTACTGTATAGATTCTTTGAGTGGGTGTTCTCCAATGTCAACTCGTCTGAAACAGATGTTAAAGTCTATGTGTCATTAGCACTCTTAGAGGTAGGTGTGGATTGCATCTTAATGCATATTATTTTTGCATTTCACAATGTTACTATCTTGTCCTTCACTTTGATTTTTTTTTAATCAAATAAAAATGACAGTCAATTGACCAATATAACTATTTGTATATCTTAGATGCTGAAGCAAGATGAATCACAGCAAAGAGCCAGAGACTTTATGACGGTGCGTATTTTAGTTAACGGAGAAAATGTTTTGGGTTGTCATTGCGAGAAATACTTTCTTTTCTGAATTGTGTTAATGGCAACATGAAAATTTTAATAAGAGTTACTTAACCATTTACTGGCCTGGGCATCAAAACTATTTTACTTCCCCTACGACCAGGCAAAAAGACGACACATTTTTCAACTACGACACTTTTTAGAAAATTAAAATAAAAAAACTTGCGTTAAATAAAATAAAATAGAAAGCAATATACATTACACTGGTCCAAGTTTATTATGCATGAGCTTAAATAGCTTAATAATTTACTAATAATTGATAAAAATAAGAATAATCCCAGAAAAACGTAAACAAAATACTACTTCTAAGTTTATTTCCAAAAACTTTTTTTATTTTAAATGCTAAAAAAAAAAATGTAATATAGTTGCTGGAGCTACTTTCTTTTTCAATAGTTACATTATTAAAAAAAGCCGATTCAAACTATACATGATAGGCGACCGCAGGTGCACCGGACTGTACCACTCAAATTTTTTTTTGGACGACCACAGGCACATAGGCCTGTAAAGGGTTAACAGTTTGATTATCTGCTGAAGGACATTTTATGGCAACATAAAAATGTTCATGGGAGTTGAGGGTGGACATGGTAAAGAGTTTATTTATGTTCTGAAGGGTGTTATGGGCAACATTCAGCACATGCTGGAATCAGCAACAGTTCCAAGTCTTCTGATGGTGGTAATGGACATCATCATTGTCATAGCTAGAGTATATCCCCATGTTTTCAGCTCTTGCTTCAGGGTAATTATTTATTTTTTAATTAAACTAGAACATAAAAGTATATTAGTTATGTACAATTATTTTATAAACAGTATAAAACTTTGTCACTAAGAATTTTATTTTCTAATTCTCTGTATATTATGACAATCATTTTAAATTGACTCTATGATTACTGCAAATGAAACAATTAATGTTTTTGAAGAAAATTTAACGAAATTGTTTTATTTTTCACCCATAATGAGAGTGTTTATTTTAATTTTTACTTTTTTTTTCTCTAGGAGGTATCAGACATAGTTATTGGCTGGCTAATAGATCCAACCCAGAATATTCATCTAATTGACCACATGGCAGCAGCTCTAGTGCAGTTACAGCCATTCTGGAAATCAGACATTGAGTTTTCAGTCATGCTGCTTGGTCAGTTTACTGAAGACTTGGAAATCATGTTAGGACAGGTATTAGGCACTAGGTTTTTGGTATAATTTTTCAAAACCACTAACTAGTAATTATGTAGGCTACTGGTTGCTTGTTGCTAATTTAATGTCTCTGTTTGACCAGGATTTGAACCAAGCAATAGAGGGATCATCTGACTCTTCTGTTAAGACAGTGGCAGAGAAGATCACAGCTCTGTTGCGAGTGTTCTATACTGTGGTGCTTAGTCTAGGGGACTCCATCAGCACTCTTAGAGGTGGACAAATCACTGTGGGCTTTTTAGTTCAGGTACATTTATCGATTTATTATACAGGCAGGCTTTATGTATCCATGATCTGTTAAGTCACTAAAATTAAATTCTCAACAAGTCTTTACTTTTAAGTCAATATATTTAGTTTTAATATATATTAAATTTGAAGAATAGCATTTCTAAAAATGTTATTTATTGTCAGTTGTTCATTCTTGTTCTTTGACATCTTTTATAGCTCCTGAACAAGCTTTTAAGTGGACTTGGTCCTGCTGTAAAATTGGGAATTTCAGAAAACATCACCATTATAAGTAAGACACTAAATATAATTTTAAAGTTTAAGGCATATTAATAATTCTAAATTTTATTTAACAAATGTATTTTTTATAGTTCGAAAAGCCCATGTTAAATTTTTCTTCTCAAGGCAATGACAGTGCAAGACTGCTGCTGCATCAGTTGTCTGCAGAATATGCAATGACATGCGGAGAGATCATTTTACCATACATCATCTCACAGACTACATCTCCCTGTGTCGCTTCAAATTCTGTAGCTGTATCAATGCTGCGCTTGTTGAAAAAGGTACTTTGTTGTATTTTTAAAAGTACTAGTTTGGTTGATCTTCCCAAAAATTAAAAAAAAACATCATTCATGATTTTATTTGGAAAACATTTATGATTTTTGTAGATTGTAGAGATATTCAGCACACAGCTCCCAGTGTCCTTTTTAATGGATTTACTTGGACCCAATTCTGTACTGCCAGCATATCGGTTTTCTCAGTGTCCACAGGTATGGTGTAACATTTTAAAAAAAAATCTTTTTAATTTTTTTAAAAAAATCTAAAATGTTTGCCTAAGAATTAACCACCTACAGGTTGGTACTTTTTGAAAATATTTTAGGTTCTGAGTGAACTGATGTCTGTCTACCATTGTCTGCTGGCACTAAAAAGTGTTCCTTTACTGGAAGAGGCATACAGGTACAGTAGTAATTATTTTGAAGCCATATTAGAGGATAAACAGTTGAGTAAAAAAAAAGTATTAGTTTCGGAAAAAAAATTTCCAAGTCAGGTTTTAATTAAAACCGATGAAAATAACATAAGGGACTGTTCTGTAGTAATAGTTTTTGAACATTTATCCAGATTGGTCTTAAGTGACACTGAGGTGAGCTACAACATCTTGCTGACAGCCAGCCAGCAGAAACCTCTGCAGTTGGTCAATGGTGAAAACCTGTTCAAAAACACCAGCTACAGCCAAAGACATGCACAGCAGGCCATCATGTTCAACATAGGAGCTTTAACTGAAATTGCCAATACTAAGAGTAACCTGATAGGGGTAGGTTGTAGCATGGTTTATAGTATAACAAATTTGGTATGGAAAAGTGGGGATGGAATAGTTTGATGTGGCCAATGTTAAGAGTAACCTCTTGAAGGGGGGCAGGAGGGGGGGGGGGGTGGTAGTAACCAACATATCCACTCACAGCAAACCAGAAGATCCTAAATTGCCATATCCAGTATATCCATCCTCCTTACTATCTAAGACAAGTTCCTACCTTGGTCAGCTGCTCCAAAATTTTGTCTAAATGTAATTAAAGTAAATGAAATTGTTTTTCAGATGTGGGCACTTTCCCCTAGTATTTTCACCCTAATGTCCTGCAATCTTCTGTTGACTGACCCATGGCTAAACAAGCACCAGGCTCAAGTTGTGTACACAGTTCTTCATGCCTTCTATTCTCATTGTAACAGGTAAATCATAATCTCTTACCTTAATATTAACCCTTCGAATCCATGGTACCGCTTTATATGTCCGAGTCTTAAATCTCCATGCACTGATATACAGATGAAGCGGTATTAGACACCTTACCCCAGATGGGCAGTTGGTACATAAAGTTACGATATTAAAAATGAATCTTGTTATATTCGTAGTTTTAATTTTTTTATTGAGATTCTGTTGTGTATACAGTTAGCTCAGTGGCATGGGTTTTTTTTAGGTTCAGTAGCTAAGGGTTCAAAGAGTTACAGAAGTTTTGACAAAACTGGGAAATTGTCTGAAATTTTAAAATAAGATTTCCCGACTGGTAAAAAATTCAGAGAATCCTGATTAAAATATAAAGAAATATAAAGAAAGTTTAAATTTTTTTTCTTAATACTATAAAAATCTTGAGGAGACAATACAAAATTGTGTGTCGTGTCAACAGGCATGCCAACTTCATGTCCAGCAGTCAACTGTTGTCACCCCCCAGCCCCATGGACATTCCTAGGTTGGCAACAAACCAAAACTTTTCAGAAATTCTTCGGATCATTGTAACACTGCTTGATAGTGACAGCACCTCTTTTGACTGCAGGCAAGTACACTGTCATGTTTATTCCCTACAGTTAAAATTGACTTCCTCAGTGTTAGAAACTTGTTGACCCACTTATCTTTTTTTTTTTCAAACAGGTGCCTGTTGATGAAGTGGAGTTCAGATATCATCGCAGCCTTGTCATCCTCTCCTCACATTTTCTCTGCCCCAGCACTCAGTGGATTTGTCAATAGTATTACAATGCAAGGTAATTTAGCGTTTGTACTATTGTCTGAACTCACCATCTCAGACAAGCCAACAAAAATGTGTTTCTATTTTCATATTTTCTGTGGCATCAAAGACTTTAAAACTAGTGCTAGAATCTGGCATTAGTTGATTACTAAAAAATTTTTTATCAAAAAGAAAATATTGGTACTAGACAATATAGTACAAATACATCTTTAAAAAAAAATGCTAATGCTAAATTCTAACACTTTGTCAAAAAGTCAGATTTTGCTATTTCACCTTATAATAGTTATCTACTGCCTGTTATTATTCTGTCCCAATTAGGTTACCACAGAGAGCAACAAATTTTACAGTGCTCTGCACAGTGCCTTAAATCAATATACAAAGTAACAACTGCTCTCTCAGACAATGTTACCAAAAAGTAAGCCTTTTAATTTTAACTTGTTTGGTAGCTATTTATTGTTTTGTGTGCTGTTGTAAAAGTGTATTTGTTTTACTATAAAAATAATGTTTAAAAAAAATATTTTCCACTTGATCCTCAGGTGCATGGAGCTTTGTGTGTACAGGCTGAGTGACACAAGAAAGAATGTCCGCGAGTCTTTCCTCTCACTTGTGAAGATTTTACCACTTGATAAAATTATAAAGTAAATTTTTTTTTCTTAAATCTTGATTAAAACATTTAAAGTTTTCAGAAATGAAAGGAACATGATGTATATACAACTATTATTGTTGATAAAAACCCAGTTTAATAGATTTAAAAAAAGAGAGGTTTCAAAGATTATAACGATCACAATAATTTGTATTTAAGATAAGGAGTATAACATGCCAAATAAATATTTTTTTGAAAAACAGCATCATTAAAGATTGTAACATTTTTACTTAAGTAGAAAATCTTGAGTAATATCTGCCACAATTGTATTACAGCATGGACCTGTTTGAAGGAGAGGAAGAATGGATGTCCAGTGAAAGAAGGAACAAAGAAGTTGGTCTCTCAGCCTCCTGGCATGTACGGAGGGCACACATGGCACATTCACCTACAGGCAACTTCCATTCCCACAACTTCAGACATGTGATGGCTTATATACTTAATGGAACCCAGCCCAGGTAGGTACACTTTTATTGGGGTAGAATAATGTTTTTAACATACATTAATGTAAGCATTATAAGTAATATTTTAAAAAGAAAATAAGATAACAATAGCATTAAAAACTATGTTGAAAACTGTGGCTATGTAATTCTAATTTTAAAAGGTTAGGATAGATACTATACTAACCCATTTCTAAAGATGTGTGTTTATTTTGCAGCCAAAATGGCAGCTACCACTGGCTTGAGGCTATGTTTCATGTCAAGCAGAGAAATGGAAAGGTCAAAGGTCCCAGTGACATGTCAGTCTGTCTTACTGACATTGTAAGTAGCCGATTCAAATTAACCTTAGAATTCCCATTTTAGTTGCTAAACAGGATTGTTAATTAATTTTAAAATATAGTCTCCCCATTTATCATATGATTAAGTTATTACTTCGTTTTATGTCTCAAACAGATTGACAGCAATGAATCATTATTGTGGTTTTGGGCCACTTGGGAATGTGCTCAATTTGCTATTCTGTCACGCTTGCGCACACCCCTTGGCAAAGCCCCAGAAACTTTTATGGCAATTGAAGGTGTTATCAAAGCATTTGCAGCAGAGTCTCAAAACTTCAGTAACTTGGATGATTCATTAGAAAGAAGAGAAAACATCAGAGGTAAAATTTAAATTTTACAAATCAAAAACATTTTTATTTAAACACATTTTTCTTGATATAGGAAATGTAAATTAAATCACATATTAAAGTTCATATTTGGTTGTTTTCAGGAGAGAAATTAGGTGAATATGTCTGCCTACATCGTGTGCACCTGTTGATGAACTTCATGGAACACCTGGATAAATTACTGTACAATGCCTATGAAGGCTGCTCTGTTGCCATGCCTGCAGTTCACAAGGTGAGATGCTTTTTCTAATAATCAACTTTACAAGTTGGCTATTGGAAGGTAATATAATTTTTCATTTCTAATTAAGTGATAATTTAATAGCTTAAATTGAATTACATTTTATCCAGGTTGTCAAAACCTTTTTCCGTACCAACCGTAACACTTGCCAAGAGTGGTTGTCTAGGATTCGCATGGCGCTGCTTACCATTGCTACACACTGTGGTATGTGGGCTATGGCAGTGCGTCAGGCCTTTGAGCTGCTCAGAGATCTGGAGGAGTTTGGATCCACCCAGGTTTGTTGTTTATAAAATTCAAATTACTTCCTTGGTAGACCTCAGTAATTTCTTTTTGATTCACAAAACCACGCAGTGAAAAACTTGTGGTTCTTATTACAAAATCATATTCATGTACTTATTTTTTGTGTGTTTCTAGAGCCCAGCCTTTGAACAAGCCCTTGTTTACCTTGTGCAAGCCTTATGTGAACTGAATGCCCCAGAGAGTATAGTTGGGTTGTATCAGCTGTTTAAAGATACCACAGGGAGATCCATGACATGGATACTTGCTGCTGCAGAAAAGGCAAATAAAAGGTAGACAGCTTGTGATATCTCAATTATACATATATTTACTGATAGCTGGTTTAGGTTTTTTTTTGGTTTAGATTACATTCTTGGTTGATATTAATTACAAATCTTGCAAATAATATTAAACTCTCTAAACAATATTCTCTAAATTACCCTACCTTAAAATTAGGATAAAAATTTAAGAAACTTTAAATTCCAAGTGCTTTGTGTGCAATGCATGATTGATTTTTGTTGATGAACAGGTATGAGAAAGCAGCCACTGAGTTTCAAACTTCTCTGACCACACTGGTGAGTGGTGAGAGCAGTGAAGTCTCTGATGACCTTGACCCTTTGAGCTCCCCTCAAGGTAGTCCTAGGCGCAAGGACAACTCTAAAACAGGAGGAAAAACTGCTCCTGCTTACCTACCCACTACAGTCAATTTTCTAGCCAATCAGGTAAGAAGTGTTTTTGTTAAATTTAAAGTGAAATACTTGTATTATGATTTTATTAAAGATCAGTAAGATTCTGTAGCTCATACTTTGGAAAGAAATTATTTTGTTACAGTTTTTAACACTAACAAAGAAAATTAAGATAAGCTCAAGTTTCCTGTTTTTATTTAGACCCTTTATCCTTGCTTTGTAATAAAAGTGGTTTTACAAAATATCAATGCAATGTCCTTTTTTAGATCAGGTTTATAAGCCAATATGATGAGTATCACTTAGAGCCTTGATATACTAGGGTGATATTTACTTCCAAATTTGCTGATTTGCATTTCATTCTGTTGTTAATATTAAACAAAAAAAATACTAAGAATTGTGATTTATTTTTTTTATTGTATGTATTATTTTTTTATCATTGCCTAGGTAACTGACTGCTATGTTAAGTTGAATGATTGGGCTTCCATTATTGAGTGGCAACAAAAAATGTCCCAGCAACAGTGGCAGTTAGATGGGGGTTCTTCAAGCATCAAAAGCACAGTTGACATCAACTACATCAAGTGTGTACACAATTTCTTTTTTACTGTGGTTGGAGGATCATTTTTACATCAGATTTAAAAATGTATCATTTTTACATCAGATTTAATGTATCATTTTTACATCAGATTTAATGTATCATTGTTGTATCCTTTTAAAATGTATTCCCTATAAAAAGACAGGACATTTATTTATCAGCATTGCCTTGTATTCCTAGGGCCTTATCTGAGTTTGAACTGGGTAACTTGGAGAACATGAAGCAAAACTTAGAGCTGGTGCCAGGGATGAATGTCTCAGAGGCCAACAGTCAACGCTCGGAAGGTTGTGGTGGTCCATCTAGCTGGGACATCAGGAGAGAGGAGGACCAGCTGCACAGGATGTTTATTAAAGCATCAACTCAGCTGATGGAGCCAACAGATTCTCTTCATAGGTAACACTTTCAATTGTGTGGATATACTTGGTCTGTTATGGGTTTCTTTTGATGTAACTGACAAGAAATAAACTCCAATAAGCATGATTATTCAAAAAATTTTTTTAATTACATTGTAAACACTGTCAAATCGTTACAGAACAGATACAGTTAGGTGCATACAACAAGCTGAAAGATTAGGGGATGGACTGTTAAAGATCTGTGCTATGGATTGGCCACCTGCCCTCCTTCCTGATTGCCTTACTCAGCTGGCATCACTGGTTGCACTCAGAAAACAATTAGATGAACGGAACATCAAAGTTAGTGCTTGCTATGTTTTGTTAATAATTGAAACCTTCCCTTTTTGTCTTTAGTAGGGTAATATTGCAAGTTATTAAAAAGCACTAAAATATCTGACAAATTAATCTCGGTGTACAATAAAATAATGAGCAGTAAAATCCAACAGTGAAGCTAATGGTGTAGAGACAATGGTAAAATCCAACATCACTTTAGTGAAGCTTACGGTGTAGAGACAATGGTGATGACCAAACACTGTACACTATGGCCAAAGTTATGGTGAAAGGAAACACACCCACTTAGCCTGCATTAGTACTGTGTCTAAAGCATGATTTATCCCTGACAGACAAGCTTGGTGCCTTTGTCTAAAAACCTGGACCCTGGTGTGGAAGATGATCTGAGTGTGTACCACCAGCTGATGAGAACCATACACCTACAACAGAGGCTTTCTGCCCATGACAAGTATCATGGTGAGTGGCTCATACCTTCAATCTACTGGAGTTATACTTCATATATTTTCTTAAGAATCATTGTAGATTTGAACTTCGTTCATGTCAAATTTGAAAACAAATTTAAACAGAACATTTTTTGGATATTTTTCAGTTCATATAGAGTATTGCTTTAAATATTTCTATATTTTTATATTTGATGTTTTATCTGTTATTGTAAATGAATTTGTTTTTGTTTGATTAAAAGTTTAAGAGCTTATTATTGGTTTGGATCTGTTGTAGTTTTTTTTTTCAATCTTTCAAAGACGTTATTTTTAAATCTGTTGAACAGATCTCTCTGGACAACTGTCCAGCATCCATTTGGCTGCAGCTACCATAGCCAGAAAACAAGTGAATGTTGCTACTGCTGAAGACATCCTCCTTAGACAGGCCACCTCCATTCTGGGGACACATCCTGAAGATTTGATCACTGCCATGACAAGCATCAGGTCTATGGCCAAAGCTGGCTGCACCATGCAGAAAGAGATGCTCAAGATGCAGGTGAGGAATCGTCTAGATCAGGGGTCGGCAACCTTTTGAAGCGGAAGAGCCAAAAGTTACAATTTTCAAAATTTCCCTGGTTTTAAAGAGCCACGAACATTTTTTTTATTTCAAATATTTTATTTTTTTATTAAGATTATTAGTATTTGTTCAAGAAGCTGGAGAGCCGCATCTTGATATCAAAAGAGCCGCATGCGTCTCGCGAGCCGCAGGTTGCCGACCCCTGGTCTAGATTATTTCTGTAGGAGATTAATCTTTCTTAACCTGTGTGTACAGTCATTGTTGGGTTGAAATGACATTTTTGGGTAACTTTGACTTGCAGAGAGAAGGTGCCAAACTGCTGAGGACTATAGGCAAACAGAGAAGCTCACTAGATGTTCTAGCAGGAAGTGTTGTTGCATCCATTTGGTCAATAGATGACCCCTCCAACTGGAATCAGGATCAAGAATGTGCTCATCTCAATGCTAAATCTTTGCTGACTTTAGTCAAATGGCTGCAGGTAGGTTTTTTGCTTGTTTTATTACTGAGGACATTTTTTAAAAAAGCTCAACGCAAAATCAGATTGATGTATAGCCACATGTAAAATTTTATTATTTATCACTTACATTTAAAAAAAAATATTTGCTTATCCTTAACACTTTTTAATTAAAAAAAAGAACACTTTTTCAGGCAGATCCAAAGCTTTTGAGCTCTTTGACCAGTCAGATTCCCCAAGTTGGAGTAAACAATGACTCTAATCCCCCTTCTTCACTAGTGAAGCATTTAAATACTCTTTTGGAGCTAGAGACTTCTGCTGTAAAAAGAGGCAAAGCTAGTTTGGTTTCAACAGGTAAATCTGTGATTAAAATATTAAAACCTCTACCGAATGATCCTAAATGTACTGATATTACTTTTTTAAGCTTTTTTTTGTTAAATGCAGTTTTCTATACTCCATTACATATTGATTTTAAATGGTTTTTTAAAAAAGAATTTATTTTTAAACAGCCTTGTCTAAATGCAGAATGTGGTTATCTGACAATGGTGTCTATTATGTTGCTGTAGGTACATCAATTGGAGAGAGCACAGTTCTACCAGAAACTGAAGGCGTGATTGGCTCCTTGCTTCATCTGAGCAGCATTCAGAGCCCAATACTGGCCAAATCTTGGTTCACACTTGCCGGTTGGTGCTACAAGTGGGGAAGGAAAGCTGTAGATAATGCCAGGTACACTTTGAGGGCTTACTTTAGAATTTTTATTTTAAATATAAGGGTGTAAACATGTTGGGAATATGACTAATCTTTTTGTTGGATGTTTCAGCAATGGCTATGTCTTGCTAACAGAAGAAGAAGAAGCACAAGTGTTGAAGATTTTACCAAAGGTTAGGAAGAAATTACCAGAGTCAAATAATTTATTTTTAACTTTTTCTTTATTGAGAGATTAAGGTTTTTGTATTCTAGCATTTTTTAAAAATTCCTAGTTATGAGAGTTTTCGTTTTTGTGTATTTCCCTTCAGGTTTGTTTATTTTGTAAACTTTTTTCAGAGTACAAGCACAGAGGAAAAGGAGAAGGTTCTGGCAGTGTTGAGTCAGATACACAACATGGAGTCCAGTGAAGAAGATATCATTGATGAGGATCAGGTAAACACTCATATCTCTTATGCTAGAGTAAAAATGTTTTAAATCATTTCTTAATGGTATCTGGCATACTGGCTTAGAAAGACCCAATCTTTATAGTCAACATGGATGAAAACACAATTTTTGTCTGTATAATTAATTAGATATTTATATTTTAGTCAATTATGCATAAGCAGTAATTTCAATAAATTTAATCTTTTTATTTTTGCAACTATATAGTGATAACAAAAAACCAAATAGTTAAGCCTTTTTTTTAACTGTTTAATTATGAACTGTATGATGCCATTTCAGAGCATGTATGATGATGGAACAGAGACCACTAGAAAGCAGCTACTGGCCTGTTCAATGTCCCTGTCTGTAGCACCCGATTCATGTTTAGACAGATTGCTCTCAGTATGGAAGGGTGTGGTCAAGAGGGTGTACCACTATTACCAGCTGTCTGCCAAAGCCTATTTTACATACTTGCACGTCAATGGTTTGGTAAGTCATGCATTTTTATTGAAACCTGTGTTAGTATTTTAAAAAATTAACGAAATAGTTATTTGATTTGTTATTTTACTTATAATTGTAATTATAGCTGAATTTTGAAATGAGAATGAACTTATATTTTCATCAGAGTGATAAAATAGACGACAAAGGAGGTAACATAATCTCCACTTTACGCTTGCTACGTCTACTTGTAAAGCATGCCTCAGAGTTACGAGAAGTTTTAGAAACTGGATTATCACAGACCCCAACATCGCCATGGAAAGGTAATTAATTTTTAGTCTTTTTTTTTTTTAAGCTGTTCAAAATAATAACACCCTTTATCAACAAATAATTTTTTAAACGTTATGCTTAAAAACTGCAATGACATTACCAAACTAATCCTGCTGTTTATACCTACAGGAATCATCCCTCAACTGTTTTCACGTCTCAGTCATCCTGAAAGCTATGTAAGACAAAGCATCTCTGAACTTCTCTGTCGTATTGCCCAGGATGCACCTCACTTGATTGTATACCCTGCAGTTGTTGGAAGCTCCTCAAAGATACAAATCAAACTGCCTGTACAAAAAGGTATTTTTAAGCTCTATTGTTTTATACCCCATTACATTATTAAAAAAAATGAAAATATGTACAGAAGTTAATAAAATAAACAGTGGATGATGAACTTAATTTTTTTTGTGATCTAGGTTTTCTGAAGCCATTTTTGTCTCAAGACAATGGTCAGGATGAGAATGAACTGTTGCCTGAAGTAGAAGACACCTTGGTGGACGATGATTTTGTGGATGAGAGCTCCAGTCCTGAACTACAGGCTTGCTTGTCATCTATAGTGGAAACTTTGTCCAAACTTAATCCACAGTATGTATACAGCAGTACACTGTCATTTGCTTTTGATTACAGTACATAATAAAGAACATATCATCATATTTTCCCGCTTATGCCAAAGACACATGGGGCAGATGTAGTATGGTTTCAGTAACCCCAACATACAGAGGATAGTATTGTCAGTACTATGCCCTGTCGCCTTTGTTTCCCTTATGTGAGTCAGGACTTAGGGACGTCCTAATGACTTGAGCCTGTGAACCAAACTCTAGACTTTTTATCTAGCAATAGGGCTGGTAAGTAGGTCACCAAAGAGTTCTATGCAGGGCTGCCTACTTGTACGGTTTTGCCCGTAACTTTACGATTTTGACACCCAGGTTACGGAATTACGATTATGCTGCAAAATTACGGTTTTGATCTCAGTAGAGATCAAAATCGACTTTAGTGTAAAAAAAAATTTCTGGTGGTAACTTAACTTTATGTTTAATTTTAATTTAGCTAGTTATATTTCAGTGTGTTATCCGGTTCTAAGGTTCTCTGCCTCTTCCGTAACAATCCCCCCTTCCCCTTCCCGCTCGTTTCATGGCTGGCGGCAGTCGTGTTTATATTGTGAACTATTGACTCCGCGAATGGTCTGTGTTACGTCATGAGCCGGTGTTGTCCGGAGAGAAAAAAAAAGGGCGTGGCCTAAATCATTGAAAGTCTGGTCGCGCAGTCTGGCGAGACATATTTGCTGAGGCGGTATTACGGCTAAATGCCTAAATAGCGAGATATCCAGGCATTTTGTTTGAAATGTGCGAGAAGACAAGATTTTACTAAACAACGAGATCTAGGCTCACCTAGATCAATTACGGATCATATTTTTAAAATTGTTCTTTTCTTCTAGATATTACATTGATAAAATGTAGATTTAAAAAAAAATATTCAAGAAATATGCTAATTCTAAACATCGTCACCCGTTGGCCGCTTACGTTTTCTTGTTCGCGGGAGAAAAATCCTGACACACACAGTCGAGGGGTCACTGAGTTCACATTGGTTTAGATATCCGTAGTGTTGGCCTATATCATACGTCATACTACTCATTGCAAGAACAATTCCTATTTGAAATTTTCCATTGTCGCCTTACATTCTGAATTTAACGGCTTTTTTTTTTTTAAACTAATTATTAGTCCATAAAATAAAAAGTAGCACGAGTCACCGACTGTCATCATTACGCTGATGAGCTTTACGATGGTATAATATGGGTCTTATTTACATTGTATTTAAAAAATGTGTAAAAATACGGAAAGTTACGGAAAACCTATGCTCTTGTTACGGGGAAAAATTTTTTGGGGTAGGCAGCCCTGTCTTTGGCTCATGCAGGTTTTATTGAGCCGTAGAACTGGTTGGTGACCTACTTACCAGCCCAATTGTTTGATCTACCATTCGACCCTGCCATCCCAATTTTTATCTATACTAAATGAATTGTTTCTTTCTTTTTAAATTACATTACAATTTACCAAATTTTTATTGTAGCGTGTAAATTTCACTGTTATTTATATTTAAGGAATTTTTTTCATTTAATGTACAGTCCAACTGTACAATAATGATAGTTTAAATAGAATATGTGTCAGTGATAATTAACTTAAGAAAATCCCTGTTTATTTGTTATAGAATGATAGGTGAGGTGCAGCTGATGGTCCAGGAACTGCGTCGGATCACCCTGCTGTGGGAGGAACTCTGGCTGGGGACACTGAACCAGCATCAAGCTGATGTACACAGAAGACTTGCCCAGCTCAATGCCGAAATCAAAAGGGTGGAGGCTAACAAGTCTTTGTCTAAGGCCATGAAGATAACTGTCATCAAAGAAAAACACAAGACTATTATGAAACCAGTAAGCTCTTACTTACCAATGATAATTTATTGCCGCATCAGTTTTAGATGTTTGCTTTATCATACAAATCTTGATTTTTATGAGCCAATATATTAGTAATAATTGGTTTAAAGATACATGAATTTAAATTAATACTTTTTTATGTGAAAATATATAAAAATTGGAACACTTTATTTTTCGCATTTTTAAACGTCTTTCACATGTGTAACAAAATATCACTTGTTTACTCTTCTTTATATATAGAAATGTCAATACTTTCCTTATAAAGCCCATGTTAATGCAAGTTTAAAAAAAACCCTCAGTAGCAATGTTTAAAGTAAAAATTGCAGGAGTAAAAATATCTGTTATTAAATAGTGTAATTTAAAACTGTTATTTAGACTTTGTACACCTTGGAACACCTGAATGAGATAACCTCCCAGCCAGCACAAACACCACAGGAAAAAGCATTCCAGTTGGCTTATGGGAAGCAAATCAATGCTGCGCTACAGAGACTGCGTGAGCCACCAGATGCATCTAACCCCCAGGATAACTGGAGTCTGTTTAAATTAGTGAGTCTCACAAAACTTATCAGGGGTCGGCGTGGTTGTTAAAGCTCATGGTTGCTAAGCCAAAAAGTCCCAAGTTCGAACCCCTGGGCAGAAAATAGAGGCTTGATAGCTGGGGAAAGCAACCCATCTAGGAGATAAAACTCCAACATCAAACAAGTGCTGCTTTGTAGTTTGTTCTTGGATTGCAAATCAAAAAGAAAAGCAAGCTGAAATTAGAGTCAATGGCCTATAAGTAAATGGTGCATAACCAGTCGACATGTAATACTTCATTGTGTTGGAGGAAATCCCATTCAACATTACAATTAAGAATAAACTTAAAGAAGAGGACACAATTTATTAATCTCTTCAGTAGGGGCAGATCATTTCTTCTAAGAACAAACATTTTTAGATTAAGAACAACTTAGATAATTGTGTATATTCTTTAGATACACAACAGTCTTCAACTGAGGGCACAGAAAAGGAATAGTCTGCAGCTAAAAATGGATGAAATAAGTCCAAAGTTGTCAGCCTTAAAGAACTCAGTTATACCAATGCCAGGTTTAACTTCAGCTGGGCAGGTTAGTCATTGTCTCTGTTACAGCCTAGTTGGTTATAGTTTGATTACATTCAGCAGTTACCTTATAAAATGTTCTCTAACCACAGATCATAACCATTGAAGCTGTACAAAACACTGCCCAGATTTTACCCACCAAAACCAAACCCAAAAAACTTATCTTCATTGGCTCTGATGGCAAGAAGTAAGTAATTTTATAAATGTGTTATCTTATAAAACATGTTGATTGGTTAAGAAAACCATTCATTTAACGCTATCTTGATCTATTTTTAGGCACCCATACTTGTTTAAAGGCTTAGAAGATCTACATCTGGATGAGCGCATAATGCAGTTTTTATCCACAGTCAACAATATGTTTTCATACCATAAGAGGTATGGTATTTAAAAAGCCAGGTGTTATTTATTTTTTAATGTGGTCTAAAATGATAGAAAAAAATCTGACTAAAAATTTTGTTTTTTTGTGACAAACTGTTATAACCTGTATATTTCAGAAGTAATGAAAGCCGTCACCTGTATAGGGCCCGTCACTACTCTGTGACACCACTGGGTCCCAGGTCTGGCCTTATACAGTGGGTAGAGGGAGCCACTGCTCTGTTCAGTTTGTACAAGAAATGGCAGCAGCGAGAAGCCGTGGCACAGACCCTGAAATCTGTGAACAATGTCAGTTCTGTCCCACCTCCCATACCAAGCATCCCCAGACCAAGCGAGGTCTTCTTCAATAAACTCACACCTGCTCTCAAAGAAAAGGTACTATTTTAAGACAAGCTGGCAACATTTATGTAGGCATGAATGTAAGAGTAAGATTTTAAAATGTTATTTATGTCTGCCTTTATTTTTAAATGTTTAATTCATGTTTTTTTAAAACAATTATAGGGCATTGATTTTGTTGACAACAGGAAAGAATGGCCACTAAGTGTTCTGCGTAAAGTACTTGATGACCTCATGGATGAAACACCAGATGATTTATTAGCCAAGTGAGCTGTATTTCTTCTTTCATCTAATTATTTGAATGTTTTGTTGGGCCGGTGTTATTAAGTAGGAACCCGTTCCCCTTGATTGTCATTATAAGTTACGTGTGTTTCACTGAATGTTTTCTGTTTGTGTAGGGAAATCTGGTGCTGCAGCTCTGGGGCAGGGGAGTGGTGGCAGGTGACACAGTCATACGCCAGGTCTACAGCTGTCATGTCAATGATTGGCTACATCATTGGTCTGGGAGACAGGCATTTGGATAATGTTTTGGTGGATCTAGCCACAGGGGAGGTAGGCCTGCTCTAACAAAGAAATAGATCTTTACAAAAATATATTGAATGTTGGCAAGATGCCTTTAACAGGGTTTTAAATTTATTTTGTCATGTGTTAAATTTCAGGTGGTCCACATTGATTACAATGTCTGCTTTGAAAAAGGAAAAGGCTTGAGAGTCCCTGAGAAAGTACCTTTCAGAATGACAGCCAACATAGAAACTGCCCTGGGCCTCACTGGTGTTGAAGTAAGAACACATTTTATTTACAACACTACTACAGCCAATTTTTTAAAAAAAGATTGAATTTTCAATTTTAAAATTGTTTTCTATTAAATGATTTTTGTCGTTTTTGATTAGGGGACTTTCAGATTAGCCTCAGAACATGTAATGAAGACAATGCGCAAAGGGAGAGAATCCCTCCTGACTCTACTGGAAGCTTTTGTTTATGATCCTCTTGTTGACTGGACAACTGGGGGTGATGCCGGCTACACTGGAGCCTTCTATGGTGGGGAGCTGGCCCAGGGGGGTGGAGCTGCTGGTGACACCAGACAGAGCAAGCAGCAGATGGAGAGGGACATCACCACTAGCATGTTCTCCATCAGGTTGACGGAGATGGACTCAGCCTGGACAAAAAACAAGTCAGTTTTTATAGTTTGTTGCTCAGCTTATGCTGCTGTATTCACATGAAACATTTGTTACTTAGCCTCAACTTAAAAAAAATCTCTCCATTTGTTTTACTGTATCTAAGTTACTTACTCAAGTGCTGCATGTATAGTCAGATTTGAAAGAATACTTTATTTACACTAACTTAAATTCATATTTTCATTAAATGATATATTTTTTACAACCTGAACAATACACTATGGGATTTTTAAATGTATTTTTAAATTGTATCTTGTATGGTTAGAATGAAACTGAAGTTTTAAAAAATCACCAATTTATGGTTAAAGGTCTGACATGCTGTCAAGTTTGCCAGTTTTAGCAGCCAGTATTGTTGAGTGGATGAAAACTTCAGACAAGCTGGAGACTGCAGCCACAAGCCTGGAAGGGCTCCACACCATCCAACAGGTCCTGCTAGATGCCCAGAGTAATCCTCACCACTCTCTCACCACCTTGTCTGACAGGTTGGATTCCTTATTTAGATGCATATTTTTCATTTTTACTTCCTTTATAATTTAGTTGACATTTGGTTTTTAAAACATTTTTCAAGTGATACAAATTTAATTTCGAGTGAGGTTTTTTATTGTAGGGATTCTAAAATTGCTTGTTGTTTTAATATTTGTTGATTTAGTATAAAGTGATAAATTCTCTCTGGGAAGCAGATATTCAGATTATATGGTGCTGAAAGCTACTCAAGACCAGGTCATGTCCTCTGTTGTTGACAAAATCACTGAGCTGAGCAACTGGCACAAAGTACACATGGTATGTGTGTCTCATGTTACTTAAACATTTATTTTAACAAGTTTATTTAAGACATTTTTATTCTAAAATGGATGAACCATTTCATCTTTAAACTCAATACTTGCAACAATAAAAAATAACATTTTAAAAATGTCACAAAACAATGTTTCATTCTGTTTAGATGTCTCTGGATAAACTACAAAGCTCGTCTTTCCAAGCCATGTGCGCTGAGGTGTCCTCTCACTTAGATCTGGGCACCCCAAGCTTCAGTGCTGCTTCCTCGTTCTTACAGAATGCTGGCCAATCACAGATCATCACACAGGTATCTTTTCACTACATCATACACTAAAATCAGTCATTATTAATTTCCTAATTTTGCTTAATATCAAACTTAAAGTTGTTAAATGTTGTGAATAAAATATTTTGTTTTAAGAAACTGAAACATTTAGATTTTAAATGTAGAATATTTTGTATGTTGAGCTAAGCCTTATTAGTTTGATAAGCAACATTTAAATCATTTTTTTTTAGTGTGAACAACTAGAGAGTGAAATGTGCTCCATACTAGAGCAAAGACGCGCCCTGCTACACAATGTGGTGAAAATTCTCCACACCTACACTACTGTTGTATCACAGGTAATGCTCTCCACTCTTAGTGAAAGTTTTGTTAAACTCATCACCAAAAATAATTAATTTCTTATAGTTTGTTCTTAAAGAAATTGCCAACTACAGTTACATGTATATTTTATTCCCTTTGAAGTTTGGTATTGCCTTCTCTGAAGACAACAGAACATTTAAATTTCTGGGCTGGTTGCGAGAACTGCTGAGTGATTTCACCTCACACAAGTAAGTTTTTCCAGTAGAATATACATCCTTTGTTATGACTTTAAAAAAAAAAGCTCCTTACCTCTTAAAGCTGCCAGTGTCTAGTATAGCCAGTGACCAGTGTGATAATTTTGTCAGGTGTGATGATGTTATGGCCTTCCATGTTGAAATGTACAGCCCAAGTCCAACCTCACAAGTGAACAAAGCACAGAGCATATTTGCTATTGAAGCCAAGCTGCAGAACCTTCTGACAGACACCAATGCTAAGTTGATTAAAGTATGTGGAAAATATTTAATTTGTTGAAAGAATTATTAAAATTTGAAGTTATTATCTGTTTATAGCGTTGAAATTAACCAAACTCGTCTACTTTGAATTTGATATTATCTTCTGTAAAAAAAATATTTATATTTGCTAAACCATTTCTTTCTTGAATTAAGTTAAGAGATCGCAGAGCTCAAGAAAGTACTGACACCAACATACTGGGTGCTCAGGTTCAGGAAGCTGATGAAGCCATCAAGACCTTTGTTCGAGGTAAGCTTAAACATTCATACACGATATAGATTGGAATTAAAAATCTTAATTTTACCATCGCTATTAATTTTTTTCTGCTATTAAAACCTTTCTTAAACTTTTTAAAAATAATCAGAGAATGGCCTAGAAGGAGAGCGCAGTCTGATGTCAGTGATCGTCTCAGCTTTGTACACATTAAACAAAAGATACCTGCTAATGGAGGGGGCTGCTGCAGGTAGGTCTTGTTAGTTCTATGCCATACAGCTGTAGCTTGTATGTGGCTAGGTATGTGTGTCATTGTTTTTTAATGTTGCTTGAAGGTGCTGGAGACAGGCTGATGGACCTCACCTCAAGGGATGGGGATTGGTTTCTGGATGAGTTGTGTAGCATGAGCGGAAACGTCAACCAGTTTTTGGAAACTTTGAACGGTTACACTAAGGTGAAATTTTATTTCATGATATAGTTTTGTAACATTTTGTACTCTTGATAACTTATAAAACATGATAAAAGTATAGTTTTTAAAGAACTTTCAATTTCTCTATATTTATTAAAAATTTGTTTTCGTGTTTATAATGTTGAAATGTATACAAATTTCTTATTTCCTTAAGATCTGTGAGATGACAAATGTTAAAAACTTGCAGTACAGCTTGAGGACAACACACAATGTTTATGTTGCTCTGCAGGTAGGTTATCATTACTGTTAACATGTTTTAAATCTTGACTGTATTATAGTTGATGTATATCCAACAATTTATTTAGTTTTTCTAATGCTTGTGTTTTTCTCCCTACTCAGGATTTGAACATTGTCGTTGGTTTAGTTCAACAAAAAATTTTTGGTATCTCTAATGCTTGTGTTTTTCCTCCTCCCCAGGATTTGAACATAAATTTCCGCTCCATCATCTTGCCAGAGACCTTAAAATTGACCCAGGCTCAGGACGAGCACTTCATCAGCATCCTCTCCCAGCTGGATGCTCTAATCCACCAGAGTAACTCCTCTCTAGACGTGCTGGTCAAACAGCTGGAGCTCATGCATCGCAACGCCATCATGGGGCTGGAGGTAACTGTCACCATCTGGTATCACAGGCTGTTGCCTATACACATACATCTTATAATCACAGGCTGTTGCCTATACACATACATCTTATAATCACAGGCTGTTGCCTATACACAAACATCTTATAATCACAGGCTGTTGCCTATACACAAACATCTTATAATCACAGGCTGTTGCCTATACACAAACATCTTATAATCACAGGCTGTTGCCTATACACATACATCTTATAATCACAGGCTGTTGCCTATACACATACATCTTATAATCACAGGCTGTTGCCTATACACAAACATCTTATAATCACAGGCTGTTGCCTATACACAAACATCTTATAATCACAGGCTGTTGCCTATACACAAACATCTTATAATCACAGGCTGTTGCCTATACACAAACATCTTATAATCACAGGCTGTTGCCTATACACAAACATCTTATAATCACAGGCTGTTGCCTATACACAAACATCTTATAATCACAGGCTGTTGCCTATACACAAACATCTTATAATCACAGGCTGTTGCCTATACACAAACATCTTATAATCACAGGCTGTTGCCTATACACAAACATCTTATAATCACAGGCTGTTGCCTATACACAAACATCTTATAATCACAGGCTGTTGCCTATACACAAACATCTTATAATCACAGGCTGTTGCCTATACACAACCATCTTATAATCACAGGCTGTTGCCTATACACAAACATCTTATAATCACAGGCTGTTGCCTATACACAAACATCTTATAATCACAGGCTGTTGCCTATACACAACCATCTTATAATCACAGGCTGTTGCCTATACACAAACATCTTATAATCACAGGCTGTTGCCTATACACAAACATCTTATAATCACAGGCTGTTGCCTATACACAAACATCTTATAATCACACTAGTAGCAAAGCCTGTTGGACAACAGGCATAGAAGAAAAAGAAAGAAAAAGTTAAAATATGAAAAATCCTTTCCCTTTTCACTCCTCGTGGCTTGTGTGTTCTGTTTATTTTTGCTTGTTCCCCTTAGCTAATTCAGGTACAGACAAATGAAATAATTTGGTCATAGTAGAAGATTTCTCATAGTATCAAATGTAAATTTAACTCTGGGAAAGTTCATTTTCAAAACTTTAGTCAGCAATGTTGAAAAATATAACCAAAAGGTTTGTAAATCTCACATTAGAGCTCTATGTTAACCCTATACAGTTAAAAGTGGCTTGGATTTTGTTGGACAACTTTACAGCTCTCATACAATTGTACAATTACCTTTGACTTTTAGGATAACTTTACAGCTCTCATACAATTGTACAATTACCATTGACTTTTAGGATAACTTTACAGCTCTCATACAATTGTACAATTACCTTTGACTTTTAGGATAACTTTACAGCTCTCATACAATTGTACAATTACCATTGACTTTTAGGATAACTTTACAGCTCTCATACAATTGTACAATTACCATTGACTTTTAGGATAACTTTACAGCTCTCATACAATTGTACAATTACCTTTGACTTTTAGGATGAGAAACCTGAGGTGCTCATGGAAATAAAGCGCATCCAGCAGGATTTCATGGATCTGATACAAAATGGAAGCAGCCCAGCTTCTAAGCTAAGCTCTGACCAGCTGACCTCAGCTCAGATGCTGCTGATGGGCTTCAATGGGCTGTTCACCAGGCTAGAAAGTGACTTTGCTGAACTGTTGGACAGTATGGAGACCCTGGAGGTGACCTCAGTCTGGAAGAAGGTGGACACTGTCAGGGAGGCCAAATCTTTACAGGTACCTTCATTACTTTCTTTATGGAGATCACTACTTGTCACATTACCTCTTGGGTCAGGAAAAGTTTAATTTCCTATCATGTTTCTGCTTACTAGGTTTTCAGGGTTCAGATCCCAGAGAAAAATGCTCCTTTATTACCCAACTTTGTAGTTAATTTTTTTAACTCTATCAATTCTCATGCATTTTATTTATTATAGTGAATAACTGATCTATCTTGTAAGTTGTAACTTAACTAGTTACTACTGTCTACTATTATGAAGAACTTTGTAAGATGTAACTAGGACTTTTCCTAGGTAGATCAAGGGTCTTAGCTCTTAACATATATATTACATGATGAAGCCTTCAGCTTTTGTTATTCATATCGCCAAGAACATAGCAAGGCATAAATAATCAAATCAATGTTATATCAAAGCTGTTTTTTTTTATGTAAGCAGTATTTAAATGTAGCCTAGAGACTAGTTATATATGACTAGAAGCCTACTGTCATTAGAGTAATTTTTAATTTATTATTTTTGTAAGGTAGCATCCGCGTGTATGTTCCTCTTTTGGCTACAAATTCCTCTTTTTAGGCATGACTGTTCCTACTTTTGGCCGACAGGGGTAGGCATGTCTGCAATGATTGTTTTCAAAAAATCTTGTTTCAGTTGTCCAACTTCAGCTCCACCACAAGACCACTGCTTGCCCAGCTCTTCTTCCTAAAGAGACTCCAAGCTATGCAGGGTTTTTTCTTAATGACAACACAGTTTGCTGAGGCTCTACAAGGTTGTACTTTAGAATACTCATACAACTAGTAACAACTTTCTGTATCTTGTCTTAAATTTACATTAACTTATTTCATGAACTTTTTTTCTTTCTATTGCTGTAGGACATAGTGGTGGTGTTGTGTATGATGAGGAACAGATGTCTAAACCAATCAAAAGATACATTGCTGATTTTGTCAGAAAACAGGTAAGATTTTTGTATATTGCAGGATAAAAGTACCCTTATAAACATAATGGTCAATGTGGCAGGTGAAGTAGAGTTCACCTATTTTAGTGACCTCTGTATATATGTAGGGATAGTGTGATTAGCACTATGCCCAGCCACCCTTACTTTTCCTAAGTTATGTCAGGTACCCATCAGAGCTGGGTGGACTTCAGCCCAAAATCTGAACTCAAAGGTTAACAGTAACATGCTCTACACCCGACCACATTGTCCTTTTTTTGCAGCATCAGGTACCAGAATATTTACTTCCATCATGCAAAATATAGTTAACTCACTCTGATCTGATCAGTACCTGTTGGAACATGGGAGTAGTAAATAAATTCATCAGCAGTGTATAATTCTTTGCAAGTGCCCATGCTATAAAAACAAATAGAGGCTACTTGTATATTAGCTGAAATTTGTTGATCCATCATTAGGATTACCTTCAATTACTTTCTATATGTATGAAATAGATTTAACTACAATACAATATTTGTCTGAATAGTTCACTTTTTTTTAAACAAAATTTTAATCAGCTAGGCCTTTTATTCTTATCTTGATTTTATTAATCTTCAACACCTTTTTTAGAGTAAAAATGTGATTGCTTAAAAATATTTTACACTAATTTACAAAAATGTATTATAAAATTGTTTGATTTGACAGAGATATAAGTTGCCTGGGGAATCTACTTCCTATGGACATCTCCCGCTGTATTAATTTAAAATGGTGTGATTGTTATCTGTAGGTCCTTGGTTTTCCATCTCAAGTCTTGGGCTACATCATCTGTGTGTTCCTGGGTGGCCTGGGGGTTAATGTCACTGCTGAGATTGAGCTGAAAGACATTGGAGCTGAGCTGAAGATGCCTTTAGACTTGCTGTGTAAGAAGGGCATGGAGACCTGCCTCAACACTGGGCAGTTCCAGCACAGGCACCTCACACAGGTCACTGCCTTGACCAGCAACCTTGACACTGCCTGGAGGAAACTAGACCTGGCCAAGTAAAAGATTTCATTAGTCTCTGTTTCTGTCTATATATTTAATTGTTTACAAAAAAAGTCTTATTTATTCTTTTATAAACTTATGTTTAAAAGTATGTTGTATCTATTCAAAGTTAGACCACATAACTTGATTTAAACAAATATTTGTGTTATCTAAAAAAATATGATGATGTTTTTTCAGACGTCTTGATGCTCACATCATCTTAATGAAAGGTCAAGTTCAGAGATGCCAACCCCAGCTTGCCAGGTTTCAGTGGCTACATGAAGACATCTTTACCCAAGCTGGCAGACAGCACTCACAGATGATCAACCCAGCCAGAGCAGCTGTCATGTCAGAAATGAAAAAGGTAATGGGGCTGGTTTAGGTAATGGGGCTATTCAATTGACGATATGGTTTAGGTAATGTGTCTATTAATTTATCTGGTTTAGGGAATGTAACTATTCAGTGTATCTGGTTTAGGTATTCAGTTGATCAGGTAATCAAATACTTATGTCTATACAGCTGTCTAATGATTGAATTATTTGTCTGTCCAGACTGCACAAGCTCTTCTGTCTCAGGAGTCAGTATTAACCTCATGCCAAGAGAGGTATAATCAGATGGAGGCAAGCATAAGCCAGAGGTTAAGATGGGCTGCTGGTGCTAATCCATCACTCAATGTTGTACTCACAAACTTTGAACAGTCAGCATTGTATCGCAAAAAATTTATAGAGGTAGGTATCAGTTCACTCTCTTCTTTTGATTTCTTCAGCTTTTAAAACCTGTCGAACAAGTTAATAGTAATAATAGTTATAAAATGTAAAAAGCTCAATGCACAAAATTAGTGAAGTTTGTTTAGGTAGCTTTCTCTTTATCATTTAGATGGGAAATTATTAATCTTTCTTTGAAAGTTTACATCTTATTACCTTTTAGAATTCCTTTCTTTAAAACTTTATATTCCCATGGTTTGATGAGTGTTCTTATTTCAAACCCTTTCTCATGCTACAAATTTTGTAGATTATAAACATTGTCTAAACTTTCTGAATAGGAGGAAAACAAAAGAGTGACTGAAGCTGGGAACCTGTGTCAAGGTATTCTGCATCTGGAGGCTTTGAGGACACAAACAATTGAGGCGTCTTCATCAGACACAAGCTTCCGTCAACTCCTCAACAAGTAAGATTTTATTTCCTTTCTCTAACTTTACACTAGCAATTCCAGATAACTGCTTTTCTAAATTTAATCCATAGTTGATAAAAATTTATAAATCCATTATAATTATCTTTAGTTTTTTTTAAAAGTTATGCTAATCAAAAATTGTGATACATCTTGTTGGAAAAAAATATAATTAAAATAATGGATTATCTTTGTAAACAATCTGATAATATTTAGAGCAGTTGTTCTTAACCTTTTTGGCGTACCGAAACCCATGAGTTTCATATACACATTCACTGAACCATTCTTAATAGTTATTTAGTCAGCACTTTCAAAGCTGATACTAAATCTTACGAGTCGGTTGTGTGTCTTGATCTCTGCCAAAACCCTGAGACTGACTCACCGAATACCTGGGGTTCGATTGAACCCAGGTTCAAAACCACTGATTTAGATTTAATTGTATTAACCCTTAAATAAGCTTTCTAATTCTGTTAAATTACATGTTAATTATTTGTTTAAAAAAAACTTTTTGTGTAGGTGCTCTGAATGTTGCATGATGCTGGAATCTACCTGCAGCTCTGTTACTGATCTGGAGCTGAGCATCATTAACATACAGGTGAGGTAGTTTTTAACACCATCATTTTATTTGCTGAGATTCTCTGCCAACGACAAACTTAGATCTAGAATTATTTCGCTCTGTTAAACTATTATTATAGTCAGTTAATTTTGATTAGAATAGTTTCTCTTTTAATCTATTATTATATCCAGTTAACAAGAGCTTTTTGTAGCTGCTAATCTGTTTCAGTGAAATCAGATGTAACCGTTAATAATTTCTTACAGCCATTAACTGATACAGAGAAGTCCGATTTAAACTGGATAAAAAAAGCCATGGATGCAGTAGACAATACTGTTAAAGACGCAAAGAAAAAACTGGAGCAGATAGCTATCAGTCTAGAAGAGTGTCAGGTATGTCATCAAAATTATCAGCACTATTTTGTGTTTGTTATTAAATTTTGATCTGTCCTCGTGACTCTTTTTATTTTAATATCTCATAGAACTTATTTAACATAAACATTCTGTTGACATTCTAGGCTTGTGGTTATTTTATAGGAATTGATTTGCCTTTTGTTAAAATGAATGTGCTAAACATTGACAGAGAAACATCAAAGAATCTGTGTCAGTGATTAAAGTCCATCTGTCCAGTCACCACAAACTCATGTCAGACATCAGGTCCATTCTAAAAACTCTGGCTAAGGTAGGTTTGGCAGCTGAGAAATTTTGGATTTCACTTCTTCTGTTTCATTTTTTATTTGTCTGATTTCATTAATTTTTGTTAACTCTTTATTCTTATAAGTAAATTTTATTAGTGTAGACCTAAATTACTTTTTTTATATTATTGTAAAAACTCAACTGAATATATTTAGTTGGAGGAACAAGATTACGGAGAGGAAGTCCAGCCTGGGGGGATCAGAGATTATTTAGCCCACTACAAAACCTTCTCAGAGAAGATCACAGCCATCCTGAAAACTGTGGTCAGTGATATGACCACCAGAGATGAGATGTCACAGAGTGTTGCTGACCTAGAGGAACTGAGGACACAGCTTGATTTGTAAGATCTTACACTTGTGTCAGATTTCACTGCAATAAACTATCTATACTTTTTAAAATGTTAGAACAAGACACTCACAAAGTTATAATAATACCTCAGAAACCTTACATTTATCACAAGCAATGTGGTCCATCCTACTCTGATGGGTACCTAACTCACGTTAGGGAAAGTAAAGGTGGCTGGGCATAGTGCTGACACACCATCCCTTCATATGCCGAGGTCACAGAAACAAGTGAACTACTTCACTTGCCCCATAGACCGTCAAGTTTGAAAGGGGAACTTTACTTTAATGTGGATTTCAATGACAAACCATAGTTTTATTTCTTTCTATGAAAATGATTATTTCTTAAATCATTTGGTCACAGCTTGATTCTAATCTAACATACAAATAAAGAGCATTTTATTTTGTTTCAGGATCTATGACAGTTTGTCAGAGTTTGCTCCATCTATAATGAGCACGAGCATGACATTGGAGCAGCAGAATGACCCAGCCTCAGGGGACGTAGACAACAAGAAGCTCCTGGACCCAGCAGTCCGGGCCATAATACAGACCAAAGAAAGGGACTCACCACCTTTACAGAACCTCAACAGTCCCATCAATCAGAGCACTGGTGTCAAGTTGCAAGGTATACAGCATGCACACTCTGTGTTATTTCCTTGATATAGTTATTGTAATAAATGGTGGAATATTGTGGTCCAGTTACTTAAATTTATTGTTTTATTTCTTGTTTAGCAAAGAAAGAGAAGGTTTCAAGGGATCCCAAGACAGGAAAAGGTAAGCTTGTTTCAATAGGTCAGCTAGATGATGGATTACTATATCAATCTCAGTTTATATTGTATTAAAGAAAAATAACAATGTGACTTAATATCAAGTATCTCAGTCAACATTTTTAGTTTCTCCTGTAAACTTGATGTCTTCATCAGCGAGCCTGTTTTTTTTTTTTTTTTTTTTTGACATGCAGGTGTAATCAAAAGAACCTGTATTTTGAAATTTTTATTTAAAATTTGCAGAAAATTTCACTACAAATGATTCTTTACAATAAACTAAAACAGGTGCTAATTGCTGCTTATGTTTTAGATCGTACAAGAAAAAAATCAGGGTTAGAAAAATGTATATTTTAATAAACCATCCACTTTTTATAATAGTAGTTAACTTTTTCTGTTTACATTCCAGCTGTCCAAGAAAGAAATTCCTATGCTGTTGGAGTGTGGAGGCGGGTGAAAATGAAACTAGAAGGCAGGGATCCTGATCCTAACAAAAGAATGAGCATAGCCGAACAGGTAGCTTTTCATTTTTCAAGTTCTTAGCATTTTCTTTACCAAATTCATATAATACATTTGGGTTTTTTTTATGATAGCTTGAGGCATGTAAGACTAAGTTAGCTTTAAAAAGGCATTTGGTAACAGCTTACATCAAAATATTCTGATGTAAACTTGAGTGCAAACTTATTATATCTTAGGTTGATTACATAATCAAGGAAGCCAAAAATCTGGACAATTTGGCTGTTCTCTATGAAGGCTGGACACCGTGGGTATGAGTTGGACAAGCACAGGCCAGACATGGCATTACGAGGATACATAGTCTAACAAGCAGAAGACAAGGGAGACAACCCATTGTCCTTCAGCAAAGATTTGAAAGGAAGAGTTAATGCATCATGTGCGACATTGACCCCCTGATATCCTACACAAAACTTGTGAGGCCATCAAGCTAGGGAGCTGCGGTGCACATTATGATTATCATGCGATGAGAAGGTTGAACTGAGACATGAACAGGGCCGGGGATACTAGCACAAGCAAGTTGGTAACTGCCTTGACTCCATTGTGGGTGAATCTTCCGTAGCATTGGGGAAAAAGATATTGAAGATAAAAACGTGCATGGTATGCCTCCAAGCAAAAACACTCTGGGTCTGTCCGATAGGCCCAAATCAAAGAGTGGCTTTGGGGGAAACCAGCACAGCAAGTCTCTTAATAACATCTTTTTCCTCCACTATCATATCTGTTGAAAAATATAAGTGCTGTTGTTGGTTATTTTTTTTTTAAGGGGGGGTGTGAAAGTTCAGCTGGAAGTCCTAATTACAATAATGGGGACTTAATATTGAGCTATAGATTGTTATTACATATCCTGTCTAAGAGACTGTCCCAGGTTAAGTAAACACCCAAATGAGATGTTACTTTTTTTTTTTGCTTTTTTTTTTTGTTTTAATGTTGTTGAACATGTGCAGTAAAACTTGATTGAACTACACACATGTAGTGTTGAATCAGTTCATTTTTTTCAAACATTTTTCGGTTGCATCTAATATTAATAATTATAATTTTCTTACAGCTTTATTAAGCTAATATCGTAGATTAAATAAAAACTAATACAGTGTATTAAAATATAGTCAAAATAGGTCCAACAATTATCAATATGGTTCATAATTTTAGTCAATCTTTTTTTTTATAGTGTATGTTAACAGAAGTATTTTTTTTTATTTGGAGTAACTTTATGATTTTATTTAAGAAAGTTTAGACGTGATTTATAGAAACTTATTTTATAAACAGCCAGGTTTTGATTTTGAACCCTAAAGTAATGTTTCAATATTTGTTTTGCTGATGTAGCATTCCCTGCTTATTTCATAGACTGCTTACAGTTAAACTGTCAGGGAAGGCTAAAGAATTTCATATCTGAAACTCATAGGTCTTAATCTAATAAAGTAGTAATTACCCTGATTGCGTTTTTTTTTTAATATTCAAATATTCCAATGCTTACTGCATGTTTAATTCCTGATGTGCTATTCTTCATTGTTAATTCCTGCTTCATAATTAATTATTTTTTTCGTAATTTAATTTTAATTTAAAAAATTTTGTTTTCAAAGGAGATACCTTAAATTTTCCAACCCCTTGGCATTGAAGATCTCCTGATTTCTAAACCTGGCATCACTTGATCTGATACAAATATTGAAAGGTGTTTGAATTCAGATGTGTGACAGTATAATCACTTAACATGAAATAAAAATCATTTGAAAACTAAAAGTGAAATGTTTTGATGAACTTAATCACTCTCTGACCCCAACCATCCAGTTTTCCCTTTAGTATTCTTTTACCTTTTCCTATTTTGTTGAATGTTCAAATATTATCACTGTTCCTTACAACAAAAACAGGTTGAAGCTCAGCTCATGTTTGTAGTTTAATGTTCATTTGATGCCAAATTCTCCTATAGAATTGAGAAGAAAAAACTTGCTTCTACTTCAGTTGATGTAGTTTTTCTAAATTTTTCATGGAACATTTAGCTATTAATTCGCCATTTTTAACAGGTATATTAACACCTGAAATCTAGCTTAATTTTCTCATTCGTTATTTTTAATTACCCATTACACAGGTCTTAGTACACCTTGCATTAGCCATTATAACAGGTCTAGCTACACATAAAATCTAGTAAATTTGTATTAATAAAACACTGATACATTTTCTAGATGAAATTTGGTGTTAGACAATACATGAAGCCTTAACAATTTTATTTTGTATCAAGTCAGTGTATTTTAAGTTTAGGATCATTTTAGTAAACATAACCTATCTACAGAGATTACAGTAGTTATATCTTTAAGTCAGTCTGATAACTAATTGAAATAATTGTTTTTTAATTAAGCTTGTTTATGAACAATTATTTTTCATGAAAATAAAATAATTTTTTTTTTAAAATTTAACACACAGCCAAAGTTAAATATTCAGATGAATTTTTTTATATGCTTTAAAGTTACTGTTTACTTAATTTGTTTATTATTTCAGTTGTTTATTAAATTTAAGAGAGGTCAAAAGTCAATGTAACACAAATACAAAGTATAGCCTGCTCTCTGCTTACTACAGTTTTTCATTATCTTATTTGTATTCTGTAACCATGTAATTAGTGTTGTGGCAATTAAAATTTGAACTCTAAAATTGTTTGTTTCAATGTATTCTTTCACTAAAACCGTTGTAACTGTCTACTCTGATGGTGCAAGGTGTCTTACAGAAGAGATATTATTTTACATGCCTGGCCATTTGATTACTAATTATATTTTAACATTTACCATAAATGAACTAATTATTTTGTGAATAATGATAGATTTCATTGAAGGAGGTAACTCAGCAACTGTCACTCCCAGTGCTTCACAAAGTATAATGTCATAACTTAAGAAAGAACTGTAGGTACACTATAAAAACAAGGGAAAAAACTCAATGTAAAGATATTTTTATAATGTGGTTTATTATGATAGAGATTCTTGAAGTACATATTTTCTTTTATGTATATTGTTAGATATAGACACAGTCAAATCACAAGAAGTACAGCAGATTAAATACTGGTTAGGTCAAAATAATTATAAAGTTTGGTAGCAAAAACATCTTTAACAGTTGATATTTTAAAGTTTGTGGTGCAATAAATGGAGGATGGGGTGTAGATGAGGGTCAGCTTATTTTACATAAGTCAGTGTTAATCATATGAACACATAGAAGAGCTTTTACTTCTTAATGTATATGTGTAAGAAAATAACACATTAGACTTGCTTTTTAACATTGCTGTGAAGGTTAGACATTATTCATTTATGATATCTACATAAGGGAGGAAGTGGGGGAAAAGCACATTAATGAGGGTGCTTTGATTGAGGGGGGGGGGGGGGGGGGGGTCATCTGGACATCCACATGTTACTTAGTGTTAAACAATTCATCTGCATAAAAAATGAATACATTGAAACAAGTGTTTTTTTTATAAACCCCAGCTCAGCTGGTAATAAATTCACAGGTTCCTTATTTATTAAATTTAACACCTTTTATGTAAGTGACAGATGAAGGAAACAGAAAAAATAGGGGCCATGAACCCAATGTGACCTTACAACATTATAATGCTGTACAGAAAATAATGTTTAAAACCTTTCCTTCCATAAAAAATATGTTTGATATTGATATGATGCATCTGGTTGTTAAGCCTACAGAAAAAAATATTTTTTGTGGACATCAAAAAATGGATGACCCCATACTAAATAATTTTCAGTCTAATTTTAAACACATTAGCATTTCCTTCTAAATAAAAAATCATGAGAGAACTGATCAATGCTTTTTTATTGTAATACTGTTGTAGAAAGATTATTTACAATTCTTAATACCAGACCTAATTTAAAACAAGAGGGGTTTATGTATAAGCTGTTGTCTTGCACTATGCAACACCCTGTTGCCAGATATAAAAGCATTCTCAGGTTGCCATGCTGGTCCTTTATCTTTTCCTAAAATAAATTTAAAAAAAAAAAGTCAACAGATATGGTCTGTTTTTAGGAAGACATTTTTTTTTATTCTGGAGCAATAGAAAGTATTAATGTTTATAACATTTAAAAAAATGTATCTATACAATTGGTAAGATCATAAGATGGGGAAACAAAAAAAAAAATACTACTCAAATGGGGAGGGAAAGTCAGAGTTGCTTATACAGCTTAAGATTGTAGGTCACAACTGAGTTTAGTAAGTTCATTTGGGTACTCAAGTCAAATGCATGGAAAGTTGGTAAGCAAGGCAATGTGCTTTGGCCAAAGAATGGGTGAACTCTTTGTTCAGCTTGATCAGGTAAGCAAGAGTACTTAAAAAATTACTGTGTACTAAATGGGAGCTTGGCAACCAGATGGTCTTATGGAAGTTCATAAAATTCAGAACCAGGTAACCTAAAATAAAAACAACTGGCAAACTGAAGAGTAAATCATGAAATACCTGTGATAATGTCATATTGTTGTCTAACTGGATACTCCCTGGCAACCCCAGGACCTCTTAAGAGCCCAAGTTTGTTATGAACTCTATTATACTGTGACCAGTAGCTACAGGGACTTGAATCAGGCATGATTACTTCTTTGAGTTTCCCTCCCTCATTTTGGTTGAGTTTATTGGTTAAAGATAACAAATGCAGTCTATTTGCCTAGAAAATTAAAGTAGTAATACATCAGAAACTGATTTCCCTGTTTCAAATAGTTTAAGAAATTTAATGAAAACAAAAAAATACTAAACATTTGTTAAGGCTTATATAAAATGTATGGGATGGAGTGGTCTAGGGGTAGAGAGCTGGACTGCTAACCCGTAAATCTCGTGTTCGAATCCGGGTTCAAGTCAGTAGACCGTCCCTGAGTCCACCCAACTCTGATGGGTACCTAACTCACGTTAGGGAAAGTAAAAGCGGCTGGGCATAGTGATGACCACACTATCTCTTCATATGCCGAGGTCACAGAAGCAAGTGAACTCTACTTCATTTGCCCCATAGACCGTCAGGTTTCAAAAGGAAACTACTTTTATATAAAATGTAGAAATTAATCAATAATTTATTCTAATATTGTGTAAAATTACAGAAAAATTATGGATTAAAGCTATATTTAATATAACTTACAGATTCAGTAGGTTTCTGTCTATATGTCGTCATTGTTTCTGAACGAAAATGATCTGGCTCTTTATCTGTGCCAAAAACTATTTGTGACCGATGCATTGATGGACAAGGTGTAGGTCTATCAGCAGGCTTCAAGTCAGTTCTACCACTAAAAAACTGAGGTTAAATATAGTAAATATTACTATAGCAACTTATTAAAACACACTGAAAAATTACCATACATGGATAAGATTATAATATTTGTATGGAATAAAAGAAATGTTTGAAAAAAATGATTGTGCTAAGGGGTCATCCATTTAAGATGTCCACAAAAATTTCATATTTTAGACCCCCTTCCGCCGTCCACATGCATCCACTTTCAACACCCCCCCTCCCCCCCCCCCCCCAAGTGGACATAGACAAACACTTAGTAGATCTCGCAAAACATACTATCAATTTTCTATTTTTATAACATGATTTGTGTACCTAATAACTGATATATAGATTTAAAATTTTTTATAATTGTTATTATTAGGCCTAAATATCAAAAGTAGAATCTAGCAGTGTCTTTATTTAACACAAGCAATGTCCTCTTAATTTCACTTTTTACAAGCAGGTTACGAGTTTTATGGTTCTTTTAAAATGTTAATATTTCAACATTAAGTTCAACGTGTGGACGTCCGCATGGACCCGATCCTCCCCCTTCCAGTCCACAATAGTCAATTTATTCGGACCCCCCCTCTGTGTGGACGTCATTAATGGATGATCCCTAAGTTTCTTCTTTCTCATGTCAAGGAAACTTGTAAACATGCATGGACTTTGTTTAAAATGAAAAGGTCCCATACCATTTTTTTTGTTTAGACTGCATTTAAATAATTTAGACCAATGGTATTGCTTAGTAGTATGACTTAATATCACTGCTGATACTTAATGCCAGCAACTCTTAAAATAAACCCATTAAAGTAAAAAAATAAAATTAACCAAGTTTTTACCTGTTTTGTTGTGGTTGTATAGTCTGGTGACCAGGGAGGCTTGGCTATTGTTAGTGTGCTTCTATGCATTGCTCGCACACCTTTAACTGATTTTGTGGGAGCAGATGATGATCTTTGTTCATTATAAAAAGCTCGGTGGCAGTAAGGCTCATGTATAACTGGGTAATGGCAACCATCTTCAGTGAGAAGTGTTGTAGCGGTTTTACCTTGGCCATGTAGAATTCTAGAGTCAAACATTGTATCTGAAGTTGATGCCATGAAGTTTTCAACAAGGGTGTAAGCTACTCAGTAACATGTAGGCTAATGTACTCAGTAAATGTAGACAATGTTCATGTAGTAGTTCAAATTCAAACTAGTAGAATCTATATATTCTATTAGTATTCTAGTCGATACTTATTAAGCATTAGTAATTAGATCTAATTAGATCTAAAACTAGAATCTATATGATGTGGTAAATTAAAAATTAATAACTAGTCAACAAGGCCTAAATTAAAATTAATAATAATAAAAATTTCTTATTTTAATATTTTTCATCAATCAAAACCACAAGAATGAAAAATATCAGCTCTTGTATTTTTATGACTGTTGAATAACTTGGATAGCGAAAACTATCTATCGAGTTTTTCAAATTTAATAAATGAGTACGGTATACGCAGATACTGCATTAGTCTCAAGACAGAATTTAGTTGTTACGTGATAGATCTAGATCTAGTAGACATCGTTTCGGTCGATGAACAACATAAGACGCTTTGAATGCTTTCGAAAATTAAAATAGTCCTAAAATAATAATTTATATGAATAAATGTTTTTGTTACCATTGCTTTTAAAGGTACATAAACAAAATTATAAACGTTTCCAAATCGTTTTAGTTTGCTTAACAGTAAATAAACTAAACTATTTTATATAATTGAAATCTCGCTAGCAACAGAATAGACCGCGTATGTATACAATTCCATATGCAATATTGCGATTAAAATTTTAGATAACTTCGGAAAACAAATAATCAGAACAAGCCTAGATCTAGATCTAAATGTCTGCTCTAAATCATTGACAATCTGCCTAGACTTTCTAAATTTAGGTCTAGATCTAGATCTAGAAAGTCTAGACAGATCTAGATAGTCTACATCTAGACTAGATCTATAATATTGTATTGAATCTTTTTCCTCTATTTTTTTTTTTTTGCACCAAAACTAACATAGTAGATCTGGATCTATTTTTTTTTTACTTTAAAAAAAAAAAGTTGTTAATTAAAGAAACGTAAGATTCCTAAAAAAATAAATGCCTAAATACTACTAGAATCTGGATCTAAATATATTATTAACTAAATAGATCTAGAGAATCTAGATCTATAAGTATAGTTATGATAATTATAAATAGTCTGTAAATTGGACCCTTTATTATAGGCAATTAATTGACCAAATTAAATATTAATGTCATTGCATGAAATTTATATAGGCCTAGTAAATATATATACTTTTAACAGTGTCCGCCCCCCCCCCCCCGAAAAAAGTGTACCGCCCCCCCCCCCCCCCGAAAATTTCAAGTGCCCCCCCCCCCCCCCCCCAAAGAAAAAAGTCTGGAAGAAACACTGGGGACGGGAGTTGAGATACTAGTGTTACTAAGTAGGCCTACATAAGTGCTAAGAACGTGTACTAAAACCACATACTTTTTGTTTTACAAAAAAAAAAGGGAATTACACAAACAACTAAACATGTGTACCAAAAAAAATGAACATGCTTAATTAAAAAAAAACCTGCCCCGGGTGAGGATCGAACTCACGACCTTCAGATTGCTCGGAATTGTGTGATTATGAGACTGACGCGCTACCTACTGCGCTACCGAGGCTTGCAGTAATATGGGGAATACTGCTTATCCACTTTTATTTTAGGCTGTAGCATAAACTATGAACGATTCCTAATGTCTATATAGCCCTAAAAGTAAGCCTGTAATAAAATGTTACACCATTCAGACGAAAAAGTCCATTGCGTATAGGGACCATTGAGTACGGGGCATCAGCCAGTCAGCCATTTTGTTTTGTCTCTTACTATATTAGACTATAGGTTATAACCTTTGCATGTTCGAAAATTAGGCCGCACTTTCCCTACTGAACTTCTCCATGTTGCTTTTTTCGTTTGGCGCATGTGATATTCAATGTTTCTTTCAGGCATCTCCCCCACCCCCGAACCCCTCCAAACGCAATATAATTTCTATAGAAAATATATACTTTTACCTGTTGACGCCCCCTACCCCGGACATTTTATTCCGCCCCCCCCCCCCCTCACCAGAAAATTTCAAGAGCCCCTGGAGAAAAAAATCTGAAAGAAACACTACTCTTATATTTAAGCTGATGACTCAACCATCTCTATCCTCTGTGTCTGATGACTACCGAATATCGCATGAGTTCAATGATGGTTCCTAAAACTCCTAACTAAGATGATATTTGGCTTAAAGCAGTTTCCTCCCCCACTCCCCGTAAATTTCAAATGCCCCCCCCCCCTCCCCGGAGAAAAAAGTCTGGCTAAAAGATTCGTTAAAATGACCCAGGAATATGTCAAGGAATGCTTCTAGCTTCATTTTCTATTACATTGGTTGGTGGCTTTCTAACATCAAGAAGACAATAGGCACTTACAAATACGTATGGGGCTACATTATTTATAAATGCATGCTACTTCATTTTAGTAGTAAGCCTAAGTTACATGATTTTCATAGTTTTCTAGTGCATAGGCCTACTTAAATATAAGTTTTAGCTAGTTGTCCTAATCTATTCTTACGTCTTCGAAGCAATCTGCATCATTTGCGAATCCACATCCCATAGGCGAACTATCCTTCTCCCTTATATATATATATATATATATATATATATATATATATATATATATATATATATATATATATATATATATATATATATATATATATATATATATATATGTTACGGTCAAAGCCCGAAGTGCGGCCAAAGCGCGGATTGGCCGGCCAATCCGCGCATTGGCCGGCTCTCTTGGCCAAAGCCCGAAGAACTGAGCACTAAGATCGTATTTCGTACATTGGCCGGCCAATGCGCGCACTGGCCGGGACGTACTGGCCAAAGTCCGAAGCGCTTAAATTTGACAGCGTATTTTGTACATTGGCCGGCCAATGCGCGCACTGGCCGGGATGTCCTGGCCAATGTTCTATCTAGACTAAGTTGTGATCGCATTTTCATTACTCTGGGTAATTTTCATTGAGAGTAACGTATTGCTTAGCTCTTGTTTGTATAGCATTCTATATGCAAGGCGACATGGATCAAAAGGGCCGTCAGACCATGAGACAAAACATAGCAGATGTCTGTCAAAAGAAAAAAAAATGTAACTCCATGTTAGTTTCCATATATGGGCTCTTGATAAAATAGTTACTGAGGAAGATCTTGAGAACATTGAACAAGAAATGGAGTTTGCCATAAATGCAACGACATCCTCAGCTAACACATCTACTACCGTGGCGGAACGTCCAGACCAGTTGCGTGACAATAATGTGGCCAACAGATTCTGTATAGTTTGTGAAAAACATTGTAGTGTAGCTCATTCTTTTGGATCCTGTGGCAACGATGTCCATGCTATTTGTGGAATACCCAATGAAGCAGACGAAGGGTACGGAGGGAACATTACCTGCAGATTGTGTCACAACAAACAAGACATCATGGAACACAGATCAGCAGCTCATACTGGCTTGCAAACTCAAGGTGCTAAGATGCTTAAAACATCAAATACAAAATTTAAAGATGGTGAAGTGGGTGACAATGTACGCATCCGTTTTCCAGATGTTGACAGAGGTCACGGTGATCCCCGAAGCGTGATTGCAGTTGTCATTAGCGTCGAGGGCGGTTTCTACAAATTAGGAACGGAACATGGTGTTCTAAAACAACTGTATGCTAGAAGTGAGTTTTCAATTCTCCACGAAAAACTGCTCTTATTGTCGTCAGTTGGCACTGAGGAAAAATCACTACGAGCCATCGCATCTTCACAATCATTGACTGGGGGCCAAGACTACACTCGCTGCAATTGCACAACTAAGTGCACAACAAATCGCTGCAAGTGTAAATATAACAAGCTGCTATGTAATTCTAAATGCCATAAAAGTTCAACTTGTTGTAACAAGTGATAATATTGATTGATTGAGACTATAATACAATAAAATATTTGAATGTTTTTGTCATTTGGTTTAATGAATAATCAATAAAGACTTAATTTCATGATCCTTACGGCATTAAAAAAAAAACAAAATCTGCGCATGATCTTCTAATTCGGACTTTGGCATGTCGTCCCTAGCCAGATGATCTTCTAATAAAGACTTTGGCCGGTCCACCATGGCCAGACCGCGGACTGGCCGGCCAAAGGCCGAAATCAAGAGCTATTTCAGACTTTGGCCGGTCCACCATGGCCAGTCTGCGGATTGGCCGGCCAAAGGCCGAAATCAAGCAAAGTTTCGGACTTTGACCGACCTATGGGAGGCGATATTGGCCAATGCGCGGATTGGCCGGCAAATCCTAGCATTGGCCGACCAATCCTAGCATTGGCCGACTTCGGGCTTTGACCGTAACATATATATATATATATACAATTCTCTTAATGGAGATCATGCGAGACACCACGTAAACGCACGCCGTTACTCCCTCGCTCTCTAGGTACATAGCTACCACCCCCACCCCCACCAGTCTAGTTAGGGGAATCGTCCTTCACGAGCTACTGATAGTGTTTTAAAGCAAATATTTTCAGTCGCAGCATTGGTAGTGTCGAATTCACAAATTATGAACTACTGAAAAGTAGAAAATAAAACAACTAAATTGCGGCGTATGCTACGCCGCGGGTCGGCTTGTTTCTTCTATTAGTCTGCTAAGCTGAGTGGTTAATCGTTTTTCTAGTGTTCATTTTTTACAACGGCTGGCTGGTTACAATAAAACCATCTACAAAAAACTATATAGTCGTCTAGGGCTAATGAAACACGCTGTTGTCAAATAGTGTACGTGATCTGATACATGCCTGAAATTGAAAGCAACTCTCAAAAGTAGCATTAAAAACATATGCCCCGGGTGAGGATCGAACTCACGACCTTCAGATTGCTCGTTATTGTGTGATTATGAGACTGACGCGCTACCTACTGCGCTACCGAGGTTTGTGTTACAACTTCCAACGTATTTTACAAATTCAAATATAAAGTGGTCGTAACGCAGACTATAAAACAACGTTGCAAAATCGTTTAAAATAAACTCCCTGCCTACATCGATTTAGAAATAAAACAACTTCTTAGTACAACTAAATTTCAGTCTATAACACGGAAAAGTTTAATAAGACAAAATAACTCAATTAGGAGTTTAATAAAAAAAAAAGTACTTGCCCCGGGTGAGGATCGAACTCACGACCTTCAGATAGCTCCTGATAGTATTAGATTATGAGACTGACGAGCTACCTACTGCGCTACCGAGGCTTACATTAATAATAATATCGTATTATTGAATCTGTCAGTTATAGATCTAGTTAGAGTAATTTTCACATATCTGTGCATATCTTATGTCCTTCATTTTGGTGCTTCGAATTTAATTTTAGTTATTTGTTTACTGTTTAATGTCATTTAACATTAAATTCGTATAGTGTTTTATCTTTTCGTGGATCTTGGTCGGTGGTAAAATGTCCCGTTTTAAGCCTCTTATAATACTTACATTGTTAGTTTCAGGCCTAATTACGTGTAACAAATA